AGTTGCTGCGTTTCTTCACGGTCGCAGTTACCTTAGTCACTAGAGTGGTGAGCACCCCTCCATAGCTATCCTAGTTGGTAATCAATCACAGCATATTAGCTGAAGATGAAGAAGAAGAGTAAGAAAGTAGGCTAAGGGGAACCTCTTATATGGCATGGGATTCTGTCCAGGACCAAGCATTCTGCCAACCGATGCATTTTTACACCCCAACAGATTTGGCAGGTCACCAAGCCCAGTTCATCTTTGGGCGAAAGAGCCCTCTATTAGTGAGCTATTATGCACTCTGGTAACTGGTGAAAAATGAGATTTTGTGTATGTATAACCTACAAAATTGAAAGTTCCTCAGAAGAAGCGGATTAGCGATGGATGTGAGTGTAGAAAATTATCTAATGGAAAATAATAGGATATGTCAGGTGTGTGATGTATTAACAAAAAAAAAACATAATTGGAATGGATTTATTGAAAATAAAGCGAGCATGCTTAAATAAATAGTACCCACTTATGTTCTATGTAAAGTCCATTTTCATTCTTACAACTTGATACAAGGTCCATTGATTTTTATAGATAAAATGAGTTGACTCCATTGCAAGGTAGAAAAAAATGTAAAACATTATAGTAGTTCATCACCCATTGCACACTACACTCTTCTACTACTTGTCCTTGGATATAGCAAACCTTCAATCATTACAATACTTTAACTCAAAGGTATCATGCCACCTCTACCTTTCAAATCACAACCTTAAGTTGGTCAGTGTACACCCATGTCTAGCTTCTATGATCACAAATCTAGGTTGAGTTGAGTGTGTGAAATACTTGTTGGTGGTGGTAGTCTATTACCACCGTGAATCTTTCAATGTGTGTAAATAATGATATTTTATTTAGAGTTTCCTATGTGGAGAGCTTACAATTAGCCTCTAACTCATGTGGGAAGTTTCCTAAGGTCATTAGATCATGTTGTCAATATTTTAAAATTCATGCAACATAAAGAGTATTCAATTATCATTTTACCCTTAAGACCTATTTTTTCAACATCAGAATAGGAATGGATCTAGAAACTAACAAAGTTAACCTTTCAGTGATGCCAAGTGACCTAATATTTTTAGTGAAGAAACATAGAACAAAATGTGTATCATAGCTAGGTTAGAAAGTTCATAGACAAGGAATTCATAATCTTAGTTTAAAGGGTTGGTGTGGGAGTGAAGCTTTTTTGAATCAATCAATCATAAATAGATATAAGAATATTTGAAATGTTTTTTGATGTTGGATAGTACACATAAAACGTATAGTAGGATCACACAATGTGTAGACCAATCTACAAATTGGCATATATTTTTCCATAGTTTTTAACTCCTATGCTTCAAGTGTTTTTAATACTTCTGAAACATGTTTAGCACTTCAGCTCAAGGGTCAAAACCTTCTAATTGATAGGAATTTCATATAATTTCACAAACTGTTGTAGCATATTTATTTTTTGAATCATCTATTGATTGAAATATTTCATGTTATATTTAAACATATAAATTGAAGAAATCATTTATTGCTTACATCAAAGTGCTTAAGGAAGGTATTCTGAATTTTTTAATAATTTTAAAGGGAAATATTTCGAAGAGATATAAAAGATCCCAATTAAAATATGAACAAAGGTACTTCAAAAATAATTAATGTGCCACTCAAATTTGGTGAATTGAAATAGTGAAAACATGATTATTGAACTTAAGAGAGATATGATGCTGAAGCATGAATTATATGATATGAATCTTTTTTAGTACCTCCACAACAGTGGTATGAAGTATAGGTGGTGGTGTATTTATTTGTCAAAGAAACTAACTATGAAAAAAATATTTTCAAATAATTCAAAGTAGATATATGAAAATAAACCACACTCCATTGTCTATAAACTGAAAAAATATGAAAAATGGACGAACATGGTTCCTTGTATAAAAAGTTAAAGTTGTACACTATTGTTCTACTAGTTTAATATCATAATATATGCAGAATCCTGCCAAATTTATTTTAAGGCAGCATGCTGATAATCTTATGATATAAAAGTTTAGTTTTTGACTCAAGAAATACAGGATATTGAGTATTTTATTTTGACTTTAGAGTGTTTTCGTGGATGTTAAAAAAATCCAAATGCAATTGTTTCAGCTTATGCAAAGCTTTTATTTTTTTGTGGACATAGCAACTGTGATCTTGAGTGTAAGCATTGAAGGCATTCAAAGTATTCAATATGTGTGGATTCAAGGATTGTAGACATCATTTTTCTCTTGAGTGCACATATGTCAAGTGGTACAAGAGTAAGGTTTCAAGCCTTACACTAGTTTGAATGTAGATGTCCTTTGATATGAAGGAGACAATCCTACCAACAATGTCAATTTTGAGGGAATGGATCTATTTAGTTCAACATCAGTGCTAATAGAGATTGTCAAAACATGCAACAAATCTTATATCAACTTTTTACGTTAGATGATTGTTGTGCAAATCAAGTGCAGTTAGTAGAAAGTTATTGACACTAGTGATTGTAGATGCCCTAATTATGATTATGACCAACAATTTCTAGATAAGTAGCCAGTTTGTGAGGAAATTTTCATGTTGAAATTAGTTTTTATTTGTCCCTAAAAATAGCACAACTACTTTGGATAAGGAGACACGAAGAGACTTCCAAATGAAACTTGACCTACTTAGCTTTTAGAGACATCTACATATTGAGATGTTTTTTAGGTTTATTTGATACAAACAATGGATTCTTCTTGATTTCTCTTTGATTCAGCTACTATAGAAGTTGAATTTTGTCCATAAGCTCATCCCATTCTTCATTCGATACAAATGACAAAAAAAAATCTTCTAAAAATCCTTCTCTGGACACCACAACATGCTTGTTGTCAAACTACCACCACCAATCAATTTTAACAAGTGATAGTTGTTACAATCGTCATTCATCGACTATATATCATTGTAGGAATCAAACTGATGCATCGTGTCCTACACAAATTCAATCTAATTCAGGTGAAAATTTGATCGATGACCACACTATCCATTCTTTTCAAAAACTTGAATTTTTACATGATTTGATTTTTTTTTAATTTATAAAAAATAGATTTAATTATATATCATGCTATGAATAATTTCTCTTTTGAAATCAAATTTTAATTCAAAGTATTTTGACTTTGACTTTGAGAAGTATGAATCAATGTGTTTTTGGTGACTTGAATTTGGGGGTGTACTTTTGCATATTGATGTTTGATCATGTCATAATTCATAATTTAATATTCTAAAATTATTTTCTAAAATTAATTTTAATAATTAAAATTCTAAAATTTTAATCTATCAATTAGAAATCATAAGTATAACTAACTAAATTTTTACCTTCCTTGTGTTCAACCTGAAAAACCCCTATAAAATTATATAATTTTAAATTGACTTATTTTCCAGTATTTAAAAATTTTAAAATTTCTGAATTTTCTTAACAATAATAGAAATATTCAGACAATGACGAAATTGGGTTGTTCAACACTTATGAGAAAAGACTATAATCTGTTCGATTGGATCAATGAATTGGGTTTATTAAAGATGAGTTTTTGGGCTTTCAATGCCCAGAAATGTCATCAGCTGGAAACAAGCCTTTTTATTTACTAACTTTAAAGATGGATGCAAATTTGATGCAAGCAACTACGAAGCCGAGGGACAATGTAGCTAAAAGCAGAAATTGAAGAGCTTATTTCTAAATCGAACAGAAATCGAGTTGTAATTCTCGAAGTGGAGTTTGCTTACCCAACTATGGATATTTCTTTAGGATAAATTCACAAATTTCAAGCACCATTTTCTTATCAAGTATGCTGCTTAGTTACACCTGCCATGCATTTGCAGCTAAAGAAATGTAGGGTTAAGTCCAGCAATCGTGTTCTCTTGACAGTAAATAAAGAGATTCTACAATTATCTAGGGTTCTTGTACAGGAAGCAACGTATATCTCATTCCAGCCTTCCATTATTCGTGTTCTATCGATTTTAGTTATTACACGTTTACAAACAAAATGATGACAATAATAACAAAATATTAATACTTATGTTATTATATTATCCATCGAGAATCATTCCCCACCACTAGGACGGTGGCCTCTAGGGTTTGGCCATTGCTATTGTCCTCTTCCGGGAAGATCGAACACGAAGGAAAAGATTCCCAGCGGAGAAGACGAGGAACTGGAACGGGAGGGGTCCAGATGTTGGGAGGAGGGAGGCTAAGGTTCTAGAAATGCAGTCCACCATTAAAATTGTTGGCGGAAGAGGGCTGAACAGGAGACCCACACTTTCTAACACACAAGAACAACAAGGGAGAACGACGAAGAAGGAGACTATGGCGCCATAGGTGGGGGAAGAAACCATGGATCCAGCAGAAAGAATCCAAAACCAGCACGAAGGGTCACAAGAAAATGTCAAGAGGGAGAGCACTGGGAATCATGTAGCACTGGAGGCAAGTGGGTACCGTGCTGTTCGGATTGAAATGAAGGCCCTAAGCTCCACCGCCGACGGGTTTAGGGTCCAGAATTCCGTGGGATGGTAGATCAACCCGTCAATAGTATCTGGGCGTTGATAAGGTGCTGCGGAAGACAGTCAGGGGTGGAGCAGCTTTGGGTGCTGCGAAGGACAGGCCTTGGGACATTCTTGACGGCTATGCTTGTCAGGGCCACCCACATGCAGCTTTCTGTGGAGGATGGATGGATGGCTGGATGGCGCTCTCTTCCACTCGGGCTCCGACATACGCCGAGAAATCATGGAGATACAAGGGATGGCGATTCTGATTTTGGTGATGGCTACGATGAATGGGAAACGCAGGTAGAGTGAAGACTTGGGCAGATGAGGGCGGTGAGGAAGATGATATCGACGGCATAACAGTAACAGTGCTCGGAAGCCGGGATGTACAGCAGCACAAGAATGACAAAAAATATGGTAGATAACAAAGGATGAAAAGAGAGAAAAACTTCTGCAGGTGTGCTCCACCGTGTTCACCGCGTTACTGCCGTCGGGTAGGGTTGCCATGCGGAGGCAGTGAGCAGCGATAGATCCTTCCAACCCAGCTTGAGGCAGCCACCTTCCTCCACTAGGGTGTACCCTTTGCAAGGAAGCATGCCCAGGAGGAGCCCAGCCTGCGCCGCCGCTGGCCCTCCCGCTAGGTTCATCATACGAAATCCTGCGCGCTCCAGCTTGTCGCTCCACCTTTCTATCTTCACCTCCCCTGTTCGCTTCGGGCCCCCCACTGCCACAATGTTCCTGATCTCAGTCCCCAACAACTGCCGCTCCACCTGAAACCGTTCCTCCTCCCCCGAGGCCGCCGCCGCCGCCGCGGCTTCCCCCAGGGCGTCGAACATCGCCGAGTAGTAGTGCAGTGCCTCCACGAATCGCTGCAGGAACCCGCCAGAGTGCGTCAGGTCCTGTTCAACTATCACCACCAGCTTCGGTCGGAGCGCCTGGAGCAGCCGTACAGCGCCGAGGTCCGAACCTGTCACGTCGTATAGGCAGTGGTGCATCCAGTTCACCACCGTCACCTCGCGCCGGGAGTCGGGGGGCTGCCAGTGGAACACCGAGGGGTCGGTGATGTGACCGATCTTGACCTCCAAGGGGTGGAACTCGAAGGCAAGCCCTAGGGCGGCGGCGAAGTCGGAGAGCCGCCGGCCGGTGGCATCGAGGAGCTCGAGGGAGGAACCGACCCCGGTGATGCGGATGGACCGGATCTTGTGGCCGTGGCGAGAAGCGAGGATATGGAAGAGGCCAGGCCACTGAAGGCCCTGCATAATGTCGAGGTCTATGACGTGCACGCTCTCCTCTCCCTCCAGCGCCTGGAAGATGGCCTGGTTCGCCGTGAAGTGGGCGAACTTGACGAACGGCGATATCGCATTGAAGACCTGGAACGCCTGCGCGATCTTCTGGTTTTGAACTACCATTAGCTTCCGGCAGAAGGGAAGAGACGCGGTGGACGACGCAGCGGAGAGCGATGAGTAGACGCCGATGTGAGAGCTCACAATCCGCGCATGGATTGCCTCCGCGAAGTAAGCCGCCACCCGCTCCGGCGAAGATCCGTAGGGGGACGACAGCTCTGATATCTCTGGGAGAAGCATCTGAGCCTCCGCCAGACGATCCATTGCCACTGCCTCCGCGCATCGCAGCAGGAGTCCCAACAACCTCAGTCCCACAGACTCCCCCCCGTCCCTCACTTCCCTCGCCTCTTCCGCCGCCCCCAGCTCCGATCCTTCGGCTTTCGCCGCAACCTCCGATTGCCGATTGGGTCTCTTGGGGGAGCGGCGGTCCCCATCGTCCTCACCAGCAGCAGCGGAGCTGGAAGGCGAGGTGGAGGAGCCGGCACCCGCATGGTCGTAGCGCTTGACCTTCATGCCGCCGGTTGCTGACGAAGGCGTAGCAGAGGCGGTGGAGTAGACAGTTGTACTGGATACTCCACAGTATGGTCGGGCAGCGGCTGCCGGAGAAAGATTGCCGGAGAAAGCAGCAGCAAGAACCGAGACAAGGGAAGAAGATTACTTATCGGCAGAGCGGGGAATTCAAGGGAAGAACTCCCCGAAAGCCCGGTGGAAATTCCGGGAACATTCTGATCGAATTCCCCTGGAAGGCCATAGCCGGGGAGAGGGGGAGAGAGAGGGCAGAGATCGGGGATAAGAGGAGGAAGGAGGGAACGGAGGCACAGTTGACGGCGTCAGTAACGGACCGCTGTTCCCGGTCTGCCGCCGTTAGGTTTGGAGTTTCATCGGACGCGTGCCATTTTGTCCGAAGCTAATCTTACGGCTACCTGTTCCCGAACGAGGAGGTCAAGAGCCATCTAGCCGTCCGTTTTTCCGTTAGGGGCCGAGCGAGGCACCTGAGGGGCGGTGGTCGTAAGTTGATGGCGACCTCCTCTGGAAAGGGGGAGGTCCAGCGCCTGTGTCATCATTATTTCAATCACGGTCTAAGGAGACGGTGGCCAAACCGCGAGTCCCGTCACCACGTCCGGCGGGATTTACGCCGGTAGAAACGTAAAATGTTAAAAGAGGGGGGTATTTTAACAAAAGAAATGACGCCTTTTAATCGAGGTCGGTAAACTTTTTTGAATTTGTCAGGAGTCCCTATAAAATTATTTTCAACGTAGAAAGTCCCCAAAAGCTGTGACGGTAGAAAGAAGAGTGCGGGATTTATAAGCTATTTTATTGTTTATAAAGGCTGTTCTCCTCCACCCCCTGACATCGCCCTGAGATTTTTCTTTCTTCCAAGGGTCCCCTCAGTTGGATTTTTTCACTGGTCCCCCCTAATTGTCCACCAACGTGGGCCCCACTGTCTATTGTCTGGATTATATTTCAATTTTACTATTCAACCACTGTAAAAATTTATAATTAAATTAATACCCATCTAATTTGCCCTTTTTTAGAAATGGCTCCCTATGAACAAACCCCCTCGGTAGCATATTTCCGATAACTGGTTTATTTGACAAGAATGAAAGGGACAATTTAATAATATAATTGGGGGGAGGGCCGATTTGTTTGAGCCCACGCGTATCGCCGCACGTGATGTTTCCCACGTGTGGAGGATATTCCCACGTGCGGCGACGCGAGGTTCCTCTTGGGAACTGAAATAACCGTCTACAAGACGATGCACCGGCTCGCGCGTACGCACACTCGCAATCCCCGTCGTGGTTCACCTGCCGCCATCGCTCTCCTCGGGGGGGCTTCGTGTGCAGCTCAGAGGAGCCGATCGTTCTGTGCAGGTGAAGTTCCCGCTGCTGAAGTCGTTGCCCTCTTCACCTGGTCTCCATTTCGACTCCAATTTTTGCTCACGGCGAGGTTTGCCTGATGGTATCCAAGTAATTGTGCCCCTTTGGATTTATTTTTATTTTTATTTTTTTCTTTGATCCCGGTATTTTCTCCCTTTGGCCAGTTTCATTCGTTTCAATGATTGAACGAATTTTCTTTTCGGGGATTTTGTTATTTCATCCAAGTTCTTTGCCTTATGGTGGGGAATGAGATGCGCGTTTGAGACAAGGGTATGAAATCGTACTTTATTCTATTTTTTGTGATCACCATCATTATCATCATCTCCGATTCTTCTTAGGAGGTCTGAGTTGGAGTGTGTATTTTCTCCGCTACCGAAGGGTAGTTGACTTTAGAAGGTGTACGTTTAGTTGAGCTCATTTAGAGGTTCCCATGAAATCTGTTCATTATTCGGCATTTTTAATTGTGTTTTCATCTAGACAATTTCTGCTTATGATATCACCTCATTTTTATTTCGCCTCATTTTGTTGAAAGTGAGATAAGAAAAGAGGAGGATTGAATTATGACTGGCAAATGCGTCCATCCCCCAGAATATACTTCCAGCTGGAAGGAAGAAACATCCTATGGCACGTAAAGAGACCGTAAGGATGGGGAAGGAGGAGAAGTTCCTACCTACCTGTATAACAGGGTTAATACGGACCATAAAATGGTGAAAGAGAATATCTCTTTCAGTTTATGTTCAGTTACTCTTTTTCTTACGAGATGCTAAAATGGATTTACCAACACTAATATGTAGCGAAAACTATTTTTTTGCAACTCATACTATTTCTTGCGTCATTTAGACAAATGTATTTATATAAATTTCCTAAGACACTGTTATTAAATTCATGATGACTTTGCGTGACATGTGTGAATCGAACTGACATTCACATTTTCAATCCCAGCCATGTACCAGGATTAGCCTAGGCATATGGTTTAATGTCTGACTAGCATGTTTTACTTTAATAGGGTTACTAAAATAGACGACTTATGTGATTTGGAGTCAGTTAGTCCTCAGTATTGTGAGTTTCCATTGAGCCAGTACGACTAATACAGTTTTTCTCACTGTCTGAATTTTTATATAAACAATGAGTCAGCCAGCCATATCTGCACGAACTTGATTTTAAGTTATAAACGAAGAATTTCTGTGAGGACGCATGTCTAGAAAATTAAGTTTACAGTTTTTCAGGAACTTCACAATTAGAGGAAACATCCCTTTTCAGACGGGGAGAATGTACCGTGATTTAAGACTGTGTTGAGGCGCATAGAAGCTATGCTTTCTGTAGACTTCTTCCTGAAAGTGTCTGTTATATTTATTCTAACCTGTTTGAGTTGTACTTATAATTTGAACGTATTTCTGTGTCTGCCCCTATATCAAAAGCTAGCGGTTAGAAGTCAATCATAGGACGAAAAAAAATTAAGGTGCATGGAGTAAACTTAAAAAAAATTAAAGTTTCAGAAAGATTTTAATTGAACTGTATACATTCACTGTGAAATACATGTCGATGCTGGATGTTTACAAATATTACACTAACATTTATTATTAGCATAAAGGGATATAGTGACAGACATTCCATTTCCAAGATACTGACGTGGGTTTCTGTTTATCTGAAGATAGCATATTCTATCGTTCAACATGTTAACTCCGAATTGGTTGTTATGGGTTTGCTTGTTCGATTTGGACGGGCCTGAAGATGGGAGTTTAATGTTGCTCAGTTTGGGGAATATTTCTTGCAAACCGTTCTTTTTTAGATGCGAATAACAGTTGCGTCAAGAGCTCCAATGAAGGCGATCTAGGGTGACTTTATATGGGGATGTTTGAGAATTTTTGTGCGTACTTTTTTTCGTTCCTCTTTTTTTGGAGTTTGAGGATGATTGTATCATTGTGCCCTGATCTTGGAATCCTAAGGAAGAACGGAATCATGAATGGCTTTATATGGGGATGAGAGAGGCGTCGTTATGTCAACAAGTCATATTTCCTCTTTGATTCTCTGTGCTGTTGACTTTAAGGATTATTTGCTTGTTATGTCCTGATTTTTTAATCTTTATGGAATTCCTGCCCTTATCTTGTTCTCTTGCGTGTAATGGCTAGGTTGATTTTTAAGATCCGTTGGAGTATGTATCAACTATTTTATTCGATTAGACAAAAGAACCCTCCGTATCACTTCAACAAGTCAGGTGAATCATTAGCTGCAATGATATTGTTAATTTCATCATTTTCTTCTTCGTTTTTGCATATGTTTTGGCCTAAACCCTTCAGTCAGGGAAATTCTAATGCTGTAGTACACATGAGGATTTGGTATATTTTTAACTTTTGGTGGAACGAGGCAGAAATGACAGATAATCGCTAAGCTCTTGCACTATGCATGACCTGACCTGATTGGTTGAATGATCCAAAAATTTGATTCGATTCTCTGTCTTAGCTCTTTGTCCGTTTCAAAGTGGTCTTTGTGATTTTTAAATTATTAATAAACTTCATTTTTACTTAAATGTAAATAGTTTAAGAATAATTATGAAGGTGCATCAGTTGTGAAAATGTTATCACATTTTTTATATTATTTTCCACAACTGATGTGCCAAAGTAGTTTCACAATATTGGCTTCTTACATTCTTTCGATTACAGGAATAAACCATACAGCTACAGACTGTGTAAATGGAGATGAAAGCTTGTTTAGTAATACTGATACATATGTAACGAACTATCTTTTTCTTTTATTGAAAAAATAAGTTGCATGCCTTGTGGATTTTATGCCGATTGGTAATGACTTTAGAATGGTATAATATGGCTTTCTGGTTTCCTTGTGATGTCCAGGAGTAGAACATAAGGGTAATGGCGCCTGCTGACACAATCTAGATTAATACCGGGCTGGCCAACCCTAGCTCTCCAAACCTTCACTGGCAACCCATCTGAACGTCCAGAAGCATGTTAGCTCGACGAATTCCAAGCCTTAATGGGGGAAGGGTGGGTGTGGTTGGTTTTCTACCTCATTTGGTTATCCATGGCCAAGCTCAAGTTGACTAGAATCCCTGGAAGCGTGAGACTGGACTGCTGGCACTAGTTGATCCAGTACCTCATTTGTCTAATAATTAAATGCATCTTAAAAACGTCAAAGATTAATTTTACCACTTTTAAATTATTTCTCGCTTTTAGTCCTTTTGCATTTGTTTGACGTGCCTGAATCCTATTTTCAGATGAGATCATAACTGAACCACCTGTTTAGAGGCTTCTGAACAGAAACTTGGCCTATTTACAGGCCTCACGTTGTAGCCCCTGGGACATTACTGAGTATTACAAAATTTTCCTTTTTTGAGATTCTCTCTCTTTGCTGGTAGATTGTGTCGCCTTCCTTGATGACTCAGGATCAAGAGGGTTCCCTTGAATCCAAAAGGGAGGCGTCATAATCCACCAACAAGGGGATAGAATATTGAAAGTGGATAATTTCTTGGTCCCCTTAAATAGGCCGAGTTTCTGTTACGGTGCCCCTCAAAAGGTGATTTAGTTATGTTGACGCCTTAAAATAGAAGTAAGACGCATTTAAAAAAAATTTAAAGGACTAAAAGTGAAGAAAAATTACAAGTGAAATAGTTAATCCATGACACATCTAAGACGAGATGAGGTACTGGGCCAACTAGTCCCAGCAGTCTCTTCATGCGTCTTGGGCTTCTAGTCAACTTCAGTTGCGTACTGAAGTAGGGGCTTTCAATTCGTTCCAGATTTGTTGATCCCAAACAACATTATATCACTCCATTAACTTCTGAGCAATATGAGACGTAAGGAAATATTTTTAGTTATAGTTTAGTTCACCTATTAAGTCATTGAACCGTTAATAGGATTTATAGTTTTTATCATGGACATTATGATATCTGTTAAAAAATATATATATAAGCATTAGCTTCTGATCCAAGGAAATCACAAAAAACATTGATGAGCATCTGAGTTTTTGTTAATCAGAGAAGGTCATGTTTGAATATCTTCAATGAGAGGCTATTCTATAATGGAGGAAAAACTGGAATATATTTTCACCATATCTCTGTTGAGTGAGTTATTGAAGAGTCTTCCTATACATTACACAGTACACCTGTTGTATATATTTTCTCATCCCTTTTTCCATTTTTATGATTTCCAGTGATTCTGGTGTAACGCATTCCATAAGCTATAATGTCTGAAGAAAATGTTTATGCTCGCCAAAGCTCCAGCTCAAGTAGTTGCCATGGTTCGGAGGAGAGTATAACAATTGCAACTATACTTTCAAAAGAAATCTGTGAAAATGGGTCACTGGGAAAGCGACTATCTCATTTAGATTCCATTCCCGTAAGTTATCTTCATTTGATTTCCGAATTTCCTTCATGATAAACCTTTATCTTATTGTTTTCTTCCATGTCAGAAAAACTTTTCATCCCTTGTCTGAAGGTTGGAATCTTCGAATCGATCTTCTGTTTCTTTTAATGGCACCATAATATATATTATAAAAAATATAAATAAAAATTCGGTACTTCCGCTATCAAAAAGATCACTATTGGCCCAATATGTCTATTAGTGCTTGTTCTACGGTGCTTGTGTTTCAGTATGGATTCGCTTTGTTGGTAGAAAAAAATGAAACAAAAGCTGGAGATCTCTGTGAAGATGACCCAAGTGATTTTATTTAGGATCTCCAAATATATCCTACCAAAGGAAAGATGTGGGCAGAGAGCTTGATTAGAGAATACTACCTTGTTGGCATTAATTTCCAAAGATCGTGAGATGGACACATAAAGTATTTCAGTTTACACGGCCAATTCCAGTTATGGATCCTGTAGTAGTACCTTTTCAGTAATAAAATCCTTGGGTTTAGTATGAACTATCACACAGTTGTTAACGCCCCGCCATGACAGATGATATAACAGGCAAAACGGGCATAATTGCAAAATATGTGGACCATGTAAAACAAAAACGTCATAGTTGCTTCGTAACATGAGCAAGCATTGTGTCTGATCTTAACTAACCATAACCAGACGCTACAGTAAAATATGTTGTCTTAATCAATGGTAACGGGTTTAAGTTTGATGTCATATAGATTTACAGCTGCCAAGTGGGTCATGTTTGTGTTTTAGAAACCTTTGAGTATCCTTTTAACAGTTATTGGCTCAGTATGAGTACTGATGGCTTCAGCATAACTTAAGCTAAGAATATTTTTTTACCTTAATAGTTGTTGGGCAAGCCCAACTCTATGTTTGTATTGTCAAATTCATTTCGTCAAATTTCATAATCTGGATCTTTTTCTTTCTTATTTGACTTCGTCGTTTTTCTTTTGGGCAGCACCAACCTCGTGTCAATGGAGAAATCCCTGATCAGGATAATGCAACTTTGGATCATGGGATGTTGTTGGAAAGGTTTCCATTTAAAGCTTCTCTTCGTCCATAGTGGAGGAGTTTACATTTTAGACTTCTGAAATCAAGGACATAAGATTCTACTTCAGTATTGTACAACATCTTTGAATTGAGCAACTTACTGGGTGGATTTCTGAGAGTAGAAGTGTACAATGAATCACGGGGGCAACCTTCATAAAAGATTAGGAAATATATCCAGTATCTCCTCCTTCAAGAGTTCTAGTAAAGGAATGTTTCTAGTTACATTTTCCTGAGTTTAGAAAAAAAAGGCTATGCCACTTGCATTTTCTGGATAGTTAGTATAAATGTCTTCATTATTATCGTATCGTTTTTGTGTGGCTTATACATTCCATTTTACATAATGAGATTTATTCTGACTATTTTCAAACTTATAGCTTGTTTGTGTTGGTATTATGCCAGATTGACCATGTATGGTTTAGCTGAGTTTCAAATTGAAGGAGATGGAAATTGTCAGGTTTGTAGAATAAAAGTTAATATCTCATTTTTTAGCTTGTTTTGGTTTCTAGCAGTATGCACGAGCTCTTTTATTTTGCGAAGTCTATGAAGGGAAAATCAGTCCCGAAAACACACTGACCCTCAGATGTAGAGCTACTGGTCTTGTCAGCATGGACCCTTTTCTAGTCTTCTCTAATTAGTATTTCTGTTCTGTAAATGCCAAAGCCATTTTGGAAACTCATAATTGGTATTTTAAAATGGAAAAAAAGGAACATTTATTTTTGCATGGCCACACTATATTTGCGTTAAGACGTATTCTTTTGTTGGACAGTTTCGAGCTATAGCAGATCAGCTGTTCAGGAACCCTGAATACCATCGACATGTGAGGAAGGAAGTTGTGAAACAGGCATGATTTTTTTTCCTTCTACTCGCACATATTTTGTTTTAGCCATTCATGGATTGAATCGTTTTTTGTTGTTGAAAAAGAAAAAGTAGTTTGATGATACTCTACATATGGTTCATCTCAACCTAGTAGTTCGATTGTTATTACCATGGCAGTTAACCCCGTATGTAACATCAGAACCTTGAAAATGATATTTTTTTTCCAATCGTCCTTTAAGTTTTTTTAAATCAATTACATGGGATTTCATCATCTCAGGCTTATTCAACCTCCAGTGGTCATTTTTTATGCATGAGTGTTTGATCGATTCATTTATTACTAATGCACTTAATAACAGCATTAAAATTCGTTTCATTAAAGTTAAAGCATTATACAGATGTGGTCTGATGTATCCCGTGAATTAGGTAGCCTTCGAGATTTTCGTCACCCACGACTGCTCATCTGACTTAATACGTTGGATAATATGATAAATATGTGTAAAACTTAGTAAAAAAACAATTTATTGCTCCCGAATTATGTGTTCCGTGTTTTAGAAGTAAAACCACTAGTATTTTATAAGTATTTTTCCCTCTTGTTATATCGATGCTTTCTTTTATGGACTCTAAAATATTTGATTTTCCAGGATAAAGAACCTTGTCATTCTGGCCTTCAAATTTCCGCTTCCGTGTTGTCCCTCCTGATTGCTCCTTACAAAAGGGCTAAATGTGTGATATGTTTCAATGGTACTGATCTTGTTGTTTTTCTTTCAGCTGAAAATTTACCATAATTTGTATGAAGGCTATGTTCCAATGAGCTACAAAAGTTACTTGAAGATGATGAAAAGGTTATATTTCTATATTTTTCATTTCACTTTGCATTCTGTATTTGCAGACTTGTCATGACGGTTCAGCTGGGAAAATTTTCTGATCTATTTACGCAAGGACTTGTCATTTCTTTTAGATCTGGGGAATGGGGAGACCATGTCACCCTACAAGCGGCTGCTGATCGGGTATTGCTTCCATATTAAGTTGGTTTATTCCAGTAGGGTTAATATTTTTTTTAATCTAAAATATTCGTTTGAGATTTGAAGATTCTCTGAAAGTTGTGATCTAATGGGATCGGCAGTAGGAACTAGATGGGGACATATGGTCAGGATAGGGCTAACCCTCATATGTGTTTCGCGTCCGTCTAGTTTAAGAGGATCAAATGATTAATGCAGCAGTGTGCGTGTCACTAGTAGGTACTCTTGTAAATGGTGGCAGGGTTTGAACAAGTATATTTCTGATTTGAACATCAAAAGGAATCTCTGAAATAAATGGAGAGCACGATATACGTTTACAGCATCTCCTAATGGATCCATTAACACTCCGTCCGAGGTTAGTTCTATGAACAATAGTGTCAATTCCTTAAATGACGTAGCAGTTTGACATGATGGGGAGCTCTTGAAGAGTGGATTGCGATTTATTTTTCCCGCATTTGGCTAATAATTAGGTTGACGTTTTTTTGGTCCCAATCAAGTTCTCTATATCTTGTATCTGTAGTTCTGACTGTTTTTCTGAAAATGTCTTCTTTATCGTTGATAATTTTTGTCCTTAACACGCTTATGAGCTCATTTATGATCCAAATGGAATCCATTAAATTACATTTATTTAGATTCATTGGTTCAACCTATTTTCTGCAAATATAAATTCATTTGGTCTGGGATTGGTTAGATGTGACATGAAAATGATGCGATATGGTTAGGTTTTTACTCCTAGTAAATATGCCTCATGTAAAAGATGTATGGCGTACCCTTTTTTTTAAGAGAAAAAATTCTGCTTTGTACCACGTCTATCTTTAACAAGTATCTTAGATGACCCATATCTACCGTCATAAGTTGACTATTAAGATGCCTAGTTAACTTAAGGACTTCATAATCGCTGCCAAAATGGGGAATTTCATCCATAACAAGACTTGAAAGCGCTCAATAAAAAAATAAAGAGTGATCAATACGACTCCTAGAACCAAATGCTTCATTGCCGAATAATGACTCCTGAACCAAACCTGTGGCCTGTGGCTAAGGACTTAGATTGCCTATGCTAAGTTTGCATTCTATTGTGAAGACTTCTCCTAAGAAAAAAAACTTTAGAGTTTCCTGTGTGGACACATCATCGAGTTATCCAGCCAGCAAGCACAAGATACAAATCGTACATAACATATGCCACTCATAATACTTTTAAAGACCTAATAACAAGATTAAATAACAACGTGTAGTATTTGGAGGAGCCAAATCTCAAGTGCCTTGATAGTTAAGGGCAAGCATGTACTCCATCTCACGTCTCTAAGCCAGGTCCTTTATTGGTTTTCGATAATTCCTTTATAGTATTCCGCAGTGAAACCAAGTGATGCAGACGATACATTGCATAAGATGCGATCATGAGGATTAGTCATATCAGCTTTATTAACAGTAATGGTTCAACAAGATTTTAGCTTGTTGAGAAAGGATGATCTTCATTAGGCATTGGTGGATATCTGGATACAATAAATGACTAAGTTCCTTTCTGATAAAGAAAAACCCTTCCAAGCTAATTGGGAGGAAATGGAAGCCAGATGAGGGAATAATAGAGGGAACAGATAAAAAATGAGCTTGAATCACTATTAAGAAGGTAACATCAGCCCTAGTGCAAGTCTTTCAAGAAATTTGATCGAGACATTGGCACCCTTTTTAGTTGCATAGTTATCCAGAAATAAGGCTAGACTGACAACTTGGAGAGAGAGTTTATTTTAATCAGGGGTAAGTATATGGGCATGGGATACATAACCAGTGAGTCGACTAGTCAAGTGAGACAAAGGTGAATTAGGATGAATATTCTTACTATAAATTGTATTGTTGAGAACAAAAAATGGCGTGGCACTAAGCAGATTATATGAGGTAGGGACCACATCGATCTGAAGAGATATGGATTAACATGCACACATATTAATTTTCTAAGAAGCATTAATAAAATGTCAATTTTTATACTGAGAAATGGAATTCTATTGAATGGTAGGAACATGAAAAGTTTGATGAATATTACCACAATTTTTTTTAAATCTATGCAATTCATTATTCAAGCATTCTAATGCTTTATCTACGACAGTGAAAAACTAGTGATATGATCAAATATAGATGGGGCTACGCGTTTTACCGCCGAATCCTGGTGCTTAGATGGCTTAAGATTTTTGTAAGATGTCTGCAAGGATAGTAGCTCTTCACTAGCTGTAGTGTAGGCACATGTTTGCGTAAATGATCTCAGATTTCCTTCACAACTTTCGTCAATTTCACATCTGCACTAGATTCTTTATGTATTCGACATCTCATGAGATTATAGAATAGTCATATTTCAGTTCTGCATTAAGTTTCTCATCTACAGAGTAATTTGTTTCATTAATCAGATGCTTGTAAAGAGATCCAAAAAATATTCAGAAAGAATGAACCCATGTAACATAGTTCTACTCATCTAGCATCATCGTCTTGTAATTTGAAATTTTTTTATCCGTGGAGAACGAAGTCATAATACTTCTGCAGAATATTTCAACAATACAATAGAAAAAAGGACGGCACCAGTGGGAATAGCGGAATTTTATATAATCGACCATCATAAGTTTAAGAGTATAAACTCTTAAATAAGATTATTGGGCGAGAAGAGCGGCAAGATTAAGAGCATCGTACTAATGTGTTGTCTCGTGGTAATCTGGTTCATCTAGTAGATGAAAACATGATGATACAATTCATAACCGTTCTCCCTTTTTAACTATCTTTCTCTTGCACAGAATTTCCAATCTCTTTAAACCATTCAATCCTAGACCTAATCTGTATTAACTGCACAGTACTTTCTATTGTGATTTATATCTAAATTTTTAATCCCTTGTAATGGTTACCAAATCAATTTCCAGATTGAGAGGGAAAGTAAGAGAACAGCATTGAATCATGTTGACTTGGGAGTGACTTGGATTTTCAAACTCAGTTGTGACTCAGACTGTCTTCGACAACTGGGCTCAAGTTGTAGGAAGACATTGATTAAAATCCTGTATAAATAGCATCTTCTATCGTATACTCTTTAACATGGTAACTTGTCCAGTCCCATGCAGATCAGGTTCCAGTAGGTAACGTCAAAAAACAGAATTGGAGGTAGATCATTTAAACAATCTCGAGCTAAAGGCTGTTTCAGGAGGCTTTCATCATGATTAGATTCCCCAAATGATTTTTCTGAATTTCTTTGAAACCTTCTATTGATATTTTACCTACTGTTTATATCATCCAATAAATTGGAATGGAAAAATTCAGTGAGTTCTAACACTGAAATCCGGCAATGCCCAAACCTCCAGAAATCTCTCATCTTGCTAGACTACTCAATTCATTTCCTTTTTCTTTCATTCCGGTCCTCGAAGATAATTAGAAAAATGGAAATGTTTCTTGTGAAGTAAATGATTCTCATATCACCTATTTACACTGTGGATTTAATTCTCTGGATAACATAGGGAGTTCAAGTACAAATCAATGTCTGCTTGTAGTAAGTGCCATCTTCAGTGCATTTAGGTTTACCTCTGCCTATTTAGTTGCCTATTCCGGACATGTTATATGGACTTGATATTGATCCGGAACTTGAAGTCATAATGTTGGTCAGACAACCAAATCTAATGAAAAATCTCCTCTTTCATTTGTTTTTGTGTCCCATTTTATGTATGCATTAAGGATGCTTGTTTTCCTTTCTCCCTTCCCACGCTAGTTTTCGCACTCGATCGTTTTCCTATGCATAGTATTTTAAAATCAATCCAAAAATATAAAATAACAGTCACGATGTTAAGAAAAGCTTGATGTCTGAAAACAAATGCGTTTGCTATTCTTTATTAGCTTTAGGCTTTAAAGAGCTTTTGATGAAAGACCACTATAAAGAGTGAAATCTTCAAAATCTTTCACCTTGAGCAGGTTGTAGTTCCACAAGCTAACGATCAGTTAACATAGGGAGTTATAGTTAACACTGTTGTCTTAAGTGAACCTTTTTAATTATAATATTACTAAATTAGATCATTAACGTTATGTTTCATCCCCAACAGTTCAAGGCAAAGATCTGCCTGATAACTTCTTTTAGGGATACGTACTTCATCGAGATTACGCCCAAAGATCAAGTTCCATCAAACGGTACTCTCTCTATCTCTATATCTATCTCTCATAAAACGTGTATAAATGCATTCATTCTTTAGTATTAGTGGAAATTCTCATGTTTTTATCAAAATTGATTCTTTTGGGTTGTTGTTAGTTGTGCTGGATTTCCATTCTTGATGAACTCTGAACTTGAGGGGTCGAATCCTTACTAGACTGCATTCTAATGGAAAGGACCAGATGGAAAGACACTTCATTCTCATCCCTTTCTTCACTCAAAACCCATAATGTTCCCAGCAAGCAGATAAAGCTTCACAAACAGCCCAACCACAAGCCCTCAAAGCCACAAGGCTCCTCGTAGCTTGTAAATCTGGCTTGGAAGAGTCTATGGCTCGATCTTAACTTCTTCTGATGCCTTTTTTGTGCTCTGTCTTTCTCCTTACTCCCTCTACCTCTCAAGATCTTTCTTATACTTGGAATAAAAAATTGGAACAAGAATGGGGAACGTTTCTCTCTCTCTCTCTCTCTCTCTCTCCCTCTCTCTCTGCCCTTTTCCCCTTTCCTCCATTCAGCTAACTCCTTACAGTACACTGATTCTGAAGTGGGGACAAGCATATCCTTTGTGTAAGAGGAAAATTTTCTGAAGCACTTAGAGGTGGTTCTTAGGCTTCTCAACATTTCGTGTTATTCAGAGACTGATGAGATTTACTCCCCTATTACGGTGATGAGAAATAAAAAGAACAGATTAATCACATTTGATCCACGACGTCCTGATAATCTCCAGATTCCATGGTCATAGGAAGTTTTCCCCATCTATATCCATATAGGCCTCCCCATGTTCATACAACGTTGCCTAGCTTAGCCATTTCCCATGCTATTCTGTTCTGCATCTGCCCAAGACCCATTGATTTTTTTCTCTCACTGTGCCTCTCTTTGGAAACTAAGGGGGCTTCTTTCATGATTTGGTTATACAAACTTTTATTTTTAGACAGATTACATTTAAATTGAACTTCTGCTGCCTTTTTCGCGTTGGAATGAATATATTTAAAATTGCTATCACCCACTACTACTGATTCCCAAGACTTCACGCCTCCTGTCCCAGAGATTTGGCTGAGCTTTTGGAGCGAAGTTCACTACAATTCCCTCTATGCAGCCGATGGTAATAAACATCCCCAGATCTTCACTTAAACTCTTCCCATACTCTATGATCCGCAAGATGAGCTAGCTGGCTTACGCACATTCGTAGATGTCCCAGCTCGGGTGACAAAGAGAAAGCACTGGCTTTTCTAGCTGGGATCGATCCACGGACTGAACATACCATCGCTCCCCAGACTGAACAGCAAGACGCCTCTCAACAGCTCTTGATTTGATGCTCAACAGCTTTGCATTTCTTGAAGTGTTACACTGGTCCGCCACTGTTATGCTCGAGGAACACCCCCACACAATCTCGTGTATTGAGAGGTGATTTATGTGTTTACAATATTGTGGATTCATCACAAGTTTTCTCTCTCTAATCTCTCATCATATTTTGATCGATTTTTTTATTTACTCGTCTGTGGAAAAAATTATCTCCAACTTTACCAGAAACAATTGTGTAGAATATTGTGTATAATGATCCATGGTGCCTTCATCTGAAGTTTTTAATGTCTGGTCTGAAATTTGTATTACTGCCATAAATAAAAACAATTCAAGCTCTTTTGGCTATCCGATCAGCACATGATCTTCAGCGTCCTCTTACTAGTTTTGGCAAATTATTTACAATGCATATAATCAACTTTATACATCTACTATAGTGTTGCTTTCATCTCCATCCAATGAATTCACCAAATTGTGTATGGGTATCATCCCATATATAATATTTACTCAATTACTTGACGTTGATTTCAGTATATCTATTTACTTTGAGCTTGAACAGTCGAAGGAATTTTAGTCTACTATTACTTCTGATATCTGAGAATCTAGATTGATATAAACTTTCTAATTGAGAAAAATGGTTTCCTTCATTCAGAATTTGCCTCCGAATATCAACTAGAATTTCCTAGACGGCACCAATAGTTAATGTCAAATGGCTATTTCATCCAATCTAAGTTACTATGGCTTTTGCTAAGACAGATCAAAATTGGGGACCTTATAGTGATAAACTGATAAATAATTGAGATAGTAAATCTGAAATGTAGGTGGATTCATCATATCCCAACTAAGGGGTAGCCAACTTTTCAAGGATAACTTAAAATTTAATATTCATGTGACACCATTTCTCCATGCTTCAGCAATACTATAGTTCTTTATCTTATGAATTTCACCCATTATTATCTAAGAGAATTGTAAAAACTAAAAGTGGAACCCTAAGTAATTGGACATAGGCTAAGGAAGGCAGAAACATTTTTAAATAGTGTGTCCTATATATTGACTATTACATAGTTTTTTGATCCACTTAGTTGACCCAATGTGTGTTGACTTATGTGCGCACCTACTTAATATAAAATTTTGCAAAAATCAATTCACCCATTCCCTCTTGTCTATATATCCTTTCTTCAAAGTTTCAATTTTCTTGTGAGAGGGTGTTGTTTGAGATATTGGTCTATAAGGTCTTCAAAATGCCAGAGGTCAATGTCATACTCTCACATTGCATTTTTCTTTGGTCAGCCATACCATATGATGAGGAAGAAGACATTATGATGTGAGTACCATTTGGCAATGCATTGTCACACTCTTCGCCATTAATCTCTTTGATGACCTCCAATTAGTGTAGTCCATCCCAAATATTCGCTGGAGATCATTTCAGACAGTTGCATTATGAATCGTCTTCATATGCCTAAAATAGTTTGAACCATGATACATCAAATATCAAAAGTGCTATAAGCCATCACAATACCTTTAATGAATAACAAGTCAACTTACTCATCCGATGATCTCAAATGGCATGTTGTATTATGGCATCATGTCTTTGTGCGCCTTAATCTATCACATACTCTTGTGGGCTAGCAATAGTCACATCATCACCAAATTATCGATGCCATACTCCACCTCTCATTCCAGTTGACATTCTTCTTCATTCGATATCTTACACATGCCAAAGCTTTTTATGCCTCTTCTATTTGCTTATGTTTACTTTTTATAAAATACACAGCAGCCAAATAATATATTTGTCCACATTGCTTTGTTGAGTCTATTGGTGTGATATTTTGTTGTCTTATTACAAGTTCAAATGATAAATATTGCATTGATAAATTCGACTAGATGATGTGAGAGAATCGAGCAATATCAAGTACGTCGACATAACTTTATTAGTTTGGCAACTTATACTAGTGAAAAAAGTGATCTTCTAATGTTTCACTAACATGCTATGTTTGACCATGTGAGTGAAAAGCTATTGACTCAACTATATTCTGAGAAAGTTGAAGGGTATTGACCAGAAATTCAGTGTTCCTCTTGGGAATAGTATCTCTAAGGATGTCCCATAACTTTATCATTTGCCCCATGAAGAGGTGTGCAACTTCTAGTCTACAAGTGGTTCATATCAGCATGAATATTGCATATTTAAAAAGCTAATCTATCACGATCAAGATTACATTTTTTACCCCTTATTTTCAATAGTTCAGTGATTAAGTCTATAATATTGATTCCGATCCCATCAATGTTCAAGCATTGGTGACAACTCTAAGGCCGCCGACACTTTAGTTCACTTAGTCTTGTCCTATTAACAAACCAAGTAAGAGCAGATACAAGCCTCAATGCTTGCTCAATATTTAATTAGAAATAATTAAAGGACAAAAGCACTAGCCTATGTTATTGTATTGAGTGTCCCACATTTGGTGCATTGTTCACCTCTTGCAATTTGCACTGATGGATATTATCACCTTGTGACACATAGGGTTATCATCCCCATATGTGGAGAATGTCATCCTCCACCTAAAAGTGGTATGTTTCTCCAACTATTGCTTGTAGTAGTTTTAACATTGTGCATCTCTCATATGTATGCCATGCAGATCTCATGCAATATGTTACTAATGGTCATCAATAATGCCATAACAACTGCCAGTGCTTCCATTTCAATTGGGGGTGTCTGGCACCACATGGACATGACCCAATTTTTATTGAAGTGTGAAGTTGTATTTAATCAGAAAATCTTGCCATTAAACCTATCTAGGAACAAACTTCTTCTATAAGTTGAAACAACTTGTTGTACATTGTTGATGTAAACGTTGAATGAGTTCCTCAATAGATAGTCTTGCCATACTCATAGGTTGTGTACAATCACCATTAGATCCTTCTTAGGAATAGAATTACTACTGCATCACCTTGTTAAGTTTCTAACTTTAAATAATATGTGGTGCCCCTTCTGTATGAGCACCCCATTGGTTGTCACACAGGTGTCAACTTGCACTTAAAATGACAAAGAAACTATCTTAACCAAAGGACTAATTTGATGGTGATAACATCACAAATCTCTATCTAATGTTATCAAGTCGTAATTGACTATGCCTAATAGTTGAAGTTGTGATTTTATTGAATGGCTACTCTAGTGAGTGATGAATGGATGTCTTGCTAATCATATCTTTTCTATAACGATCATAATCATAATCATAATCATAATCATGAAGAAGCTGGATGAAATGATAAGAACAATCCTACCCTTTAAGGAAGAGAAATTTTGAAGAATGTGGCGGTGGTATGAGATTTTTCTAACGATTTTCACTTACAAACAACAGCAGTTGGGAATAAACGGACTAACCCTCACAATCAATGGCATATTCTTAGGATAACCCTCTTGTAACTAGCAAAGTAGCGTATAACCTTCCATGGATCCTGGAAATGGCAGACTCAGTCTAGTTATGGACAGTTAGCAAGATCATTTGATGTAGAGATAGATGGCTAATAACGGGAAATAATGTGACTAACTACGAGGGTGTACCCAAACAATGGACCGTCTTCATTCTTGGGTACAGTCAAGAACGGATCTTTGCGCTACGCTCGATTGTATCAGCCCGCAGTCCGAACCTCTCGAACCACTGCGAGGTGTGGGCCGAAGCCGAAACCCTAAACAGCACCGCGTCGTGTCCCCATTTCCGGCGTCCCTGCCTCGATCCAACAGTTTCCCTCCCGGGGCCGGCTGACCGCGGACGCCGGCTACCGGCAGGCTACAGCGCTCGAGCTCCCGCCCACTGAGACTGCCGTCGGAGCCAGAGGTCAGCCGCTGTGCCTCCACCTCATCTGGTCCTCCTTTGGCTACCGCGCTGTTGCGGGTTTGCTGGGTACCCACTGTTCGGCAGCTTTGTCGTTCCGATGGGATTATCTCTGCCTGCTTTCTGCCTGCCGTTCTTCATCTAGATTCTCAGGCAGCCGGGGGAGGGATGTCTGGGATTGACAATCTATTGGTGGAGGGGAGATTTGGTCTAGATGAACATGTTGGATCGGGTTGGATCCTTTTGGCGTTTTTACTTCGATGATGATTGATGGATTTGTTCTTTCGTGTCTCTCATTCTTTGACTGGCTAATCTTCCAGGTGCCGCATTTCCATCAGCGAAGATGTCTCGCAAAGGGCTCATGGAGCAGGACCTCAGTAAGCTGGATGTGACCAAGTTGCATCCGCTTTCGCCAGAGGTTATCTCCCGGCAGGCTACAATCAATATCGGTAAGGTCTCCCATCATATTTTATACGGGAGAAGACTGTTCATCGCATGCCCCCCCGCGGCCAGTCACCACCAGTCGTACCACCTATAGAAATTATTCCAAGATAATTTTTGATTGGATTATAATCTCGTGCATTATAAGAAAGGTGTCAGCTTTCTGTAATCTGGAAAGAATTTCCTGGGAATGCCTTGGTGGGTGAGAAGAAGCTGGAGGGAGAAAGTATTTTCTAACGTGAATGAACGAATACAAGAGGTTCTTTGCAAGGTGAGGCCTATCAGTGAAGCATAGGATCAGTCAACAGCTGTTGATGAGGTGCATGGTTTGGTTGCTTAGTGAACAGTTGAAATGGGAATAAATGTTCTTAAAACAATGGCATCAGAGAGGAGAATCGGCCGCTTCTTCCTCCCCCAAGACTGAGACTGGTTGCAAGAGAAGCTTCTTCGTAGAGATTGAGGATGACAGGACATTAGAAAGGTTTACCTAATCAGAAGTTAGAAAGTGTTTTAAAGAGTAAGTTTGGGGAGGTTGAATATATGGAGCACTGTCCAAAACAGCTGAAAAGGAGTTGAGGTGCGGTATGAAAACCAGGGAATGTTGCCTCTTGCATGCGTATTCTGTGAGATTTCACTGTTACTAAATATGTGCCATTGCTGGTTTGGGCTAGCAAGACTAAAGGATGTTTGATATTCATCAAATTCTTTATCCTACCCATTCCATAGTTATTCCAGAAAAGAAACCAAACCTTCATACCGGTTGCCAGAAAGTTATGACTCATACGTTTGAAAAAACAGAATGAAAGGACATCCTAAACAGCCTTTGTTGATTATTTCGCTTTCTGAAGTTGGCAGATCTAAGTTATGAGGTTATTTCTGCCTGAACAGGGGAAAATTTGTAGTCTTTCAAGGTAGATTTTGAAAGAGCACAGCATTCAGTGACTTGGAAGCGTTATCAATCGGACAATTTTTTTGATGGGTGTTAGGAAAAATAGATGATTTGAAGAAGGAGTTGTCTCTCAATAGCCCAACTTTCTTCCTACATCTTCTTGTTGTTCAGCCAGACAGCTTCACGGGGAAGAACAATGTTATGATTGGCATAATAAAGATCATTAGTAATGGTGCGGGAATAGGGCGGTGTCTTTCAACTAATCCCTGCTTCATATGGTAAAAGCTTTAAAGTCTCAAAAATCCAGAATAATTATCCCAAAGAGCATGATTGTGAGAGTTGGAAAGATGAGAATAATTCCCCTGCCCGGGGAGACTGCCTTATCCCATATGAGATCATTGAGTCTTGCTCAAATACATGATTTTGAGCTTGAAGTTCCTTGCACTTTTATGAAAAGTATTGAGGAGATTAGAAGCTCTTGTTTTTTCTCAAAGGGACTTGAAAAGAATGTTAAGATTGACATCTCATCAAGTTGGACGATTTTTAGGAGAAGGGAGGCAAGAATGGGGTTGGTGAAAGTTCAGGAACACAGCAAAGCATTACTCCTGAAGCATTTTCTAGAATAGGAGAAGAGTATGGTATATACATCACGTACCTATCTAATTACCAACCATTCAAGTTCCAGATGCTGATCTCACATGGGTTTCTTTGGCCTTGAACTCATTCATGAGTTCATAGAAAAGTCTTAACCAGTAGGAAGAGATTCTTTTGATTCGAATAGCATGGTTCTGGTGAAAGTTTTGATGAAGACCATTGTGCTTTGTGAGTCCATTTCTGTGAACATCTGATGCATCCGTTTAAAACCTATGTGCTGAAGGTAGAGTAATATCTCGCTCTAGAGTTGGTGTTTGATTTGATCCCAATGAAGGTACAGTATGATTCTAATGAAGGGCTTATCTCATTCAATGGGACTAGATTTTTTGCATTATATCAGATGAATTCGTGCATCGATTTAACGAATATTGTACGAAAGTTAGAGTTTGATGAACTTTATTGCTGCATATTCCATTTCTTACATGGTTCCTTCCCTCTCATTCCAGAGCAAATCCTAACCTGTTGTAAGCTCCTCTCGAGTATACACGACTTTGGTCTTTGACTTTTTTCTCAGCGCTTGTAAATTTTCTTAACCAGGTACAATTGGTCATGTGGCCCATGGAAAGTCAACGGTTGTCAAAGCAATATCTGGTGTGCAGGTAAAACCGTGAGATAATACTCTGCAGTGCCCGATGATTTATCTAACCTTGATCTCAATGCTTCGGATATTTTAGGAGAGATTATTTTATTGAACAATGGAGCATACAAAGCTAGGATCTTGGAAAAATGACGAAGCATATTTATAAATTACCCATAAAAAAATACTATGAACAATTTGATTCATTAAGATTTATATATTTTTTTTCATAAATCCTAATGGTAGAAGATCCGTCTGTGTCTCCTCCCATCTGCAGACCGTGCGTTTTAAGAACGAGCTCGAGCGTAATATCACCATCAAACTCGGGTATGCAAATGCAAAGATATACAAGTGCGAAGATGAACGGTGCCCCCGTCCCATGTCCTACAAGTATGACCGAACCTGCATGAACTCTATTTTTCTCATTTTTTAATTTTTAATTTTTGCATAACTCATTTTTATTATTATTCATGAGCTGGGGCCATATTTTCAGGGCCTATGGAAGTGGAAAGGAAGACAGCCCTTTTTGTGACGTGCCCGGATTTGAGAATGCTAGGATGAGGCTGTTGAGGCATGTTTCCTTCGTTGACTGCCCAGTGAGTGGTCAATCTTCATGGCAGCACTCTCATCAGCACATGAACAGCCATTTTCCTAACCTTTTTTTTAATCTAAAAGATTTAATTTATTTTATTTTTTCTGTGAAAAGTATAGATGCTTATTTTCGTCCTCTGATGATGTTCTGTTGACCCAGGGCCACGACATCCTCATGGCCACGATGCTGAATGGAGCCGCCATCATGGATGGGGCGCTGCTGCTGATAGCCGGCAACGAGAGCTGCCCGCAGCCTCAGACCTCCGAGCACCTGGCGGCTGTTGAGATCATGCGTCTGAAGCACATTATCATCCTGCAGAACAAGATCGACCTCATCCAAGAGAGCGTGGCAATCAACCAGCACGAGGCGATCCAGAGCTTTATTCAGGTGGGTGGGTCAACGGAGGAGGGGTGGCAGTGCCCCCGCTGGAGAAAGATCCTTCTTCGTGGCGGGATTTTCTAAATTCTACTTGTTCTTTGTCTTTTTTTGCAGGGCACGATCGCTGACGGGGCCCCGGTGGTGCCGATCTCCGCCCAGCTGAAGTACAACATCGACGTGGTCTGCGAGTACCTGGTCAACAAGATCCCGATCCCCGAGAGGAACTTCGTCGCACCCCCGAACATGATCGTCATCCGTTCGTTTGACGTCAACAAGCCTGGGTTTGAGGTGGATGAGATAAGAGGCGGAGTCGCCGGTGGTAGCATCCTTAGGGTGGGTTGACCGATGCCCTCTTGCAGCCGCATTTGTTTTTCCCGGAAGAACTGACCCATACCCGGTAATTATTAAAGTCAACGTTTGCTCTTCCCATTGCTTTTTTTTTTCTTCTGTGCAGGGCGTTCTGAAAGTCAACCAGTTCATCGAGGTCCGCCCCGGGATTGTGGTCAAGGATGAGAGCGGCAACATCAAGTGCACGCCGATATATTCCAGAATAGTTTCTCTGTATGCAGAGCAGAACGAGCTACAGTTTGCTGTGCCTGGAGGCCTCATCGGGGTTGGCACCACCATGGACCCCACGTTGACCAGGGCTGACCGGCTGGTTGGCCAGGTCCTCGGAGAGGTCGGCTCCCTGCCCGACGTCTTCGTCGAGCTCGAGGTGAGAACCCCCTCCCAAAATCTGACCTTGGTCAACCCTCCTTCCCGAAGAAAGGTGGACGTGGATTGACTTTTTCTTTTGTATTGTTGTTTACTATTTCAGGTGAATTTCTTCCTGCTGAGGCGGCTGTTGGGGGTGAGGACAAAGGGGACGGAGAAGCAGGGCAAGGTGTCGAAGCTGGCCAAGGGGGAGATTCTCATGCTGAACATCGGCTCAATGTCAACGGGGGCGCGTGTGGTCGCCGTGAGGAACGACCTAGCGAAGCTGCAGCTGACGGCACCGGTCTGCACCAGCCGCGGGGAGAAGGTGGCTCTCAGCCGGCGCGTGGAGAAGCACTGGCGGCTGATCGGATGGGGCCAGATTCAGGCCGGCGTGACCCTCGACGTGCCCCCCAGCCCCATTTGAGATTATTTACTAGAGAGAGAAAATATTAAGAGAGATAAGAGAGATAAGAGAGAGAGAGAGAGAGAGAGATGCCGCTGCGGTGGGACGGTTTTTGTCGGGAGAATAGTGGAAGGAGAAGAAGACAGCGGAGCGGAGGTATGATGAGCATTTGATTTCTTCCTTTTCGCATTTGTTGGAAGAGAATTTGGTATTTGTTTTCCGATTTTTTATGTATCAAATCTTTCTGGCCATCCTGGCTGCTGGGTATTTCTCTCTTCCTCTCTCTCTTCCTCTCTCTCTCTCTCCTCTCTCTCTCTCTCTCTCTCTCTCTCTCTCTCTCTCTATTTATCTCTCTTTATCTCTATCTCTCGCTATCCATTTATCTCGCCCTCTCTCTCTATCTGTTCCTCTCTCTCTGACATGAATACGACTCCATAGTGGGAATGTCCGAGCTGCCGACAGTCCGCCGAGCGGTGGCCAGCTGTCGGTTCGCCGTCAAATCATCATAAAACGGCGGTCAACCGAAGAACGGCAGTTCGCACCGTCAAACCGACGCTTAAAGAGTGAGGCGTACGGCCCGTGTGATCCGCCGGCGAGGCCACTCTGGCGATCATAATATCTCGATAAATATCTTCTTGACGCCGCCGCGCACACACAGAAAACAGCCGGTTTTACCATTTTTATATTACAGCAGTCAAAGTTTTCCTAAATCAGACAATAGCCTGAGAGTGAACGTAATAAATAGCGTAATATACCATATTTCCCCTCCAAAAACCTAAATTTATCCGGAGTCAACCCATTTTTTATAAAATAAAATCATTAAATAAGTATATTAATATAATTGGTGCTATAAATAAGCTGACTATGTGTGGTCAACGCAGAGTTACACTATTGGTATATAACTATTGCGGGTGTTATCATCAGCGTATGTTACATCCACATGAGCAAGGGTTGACCTAGTATTCAAAAGCATTTTTTTTGTTGTTGTTGTGGAAATGCGTTGAGTTCATAGTCAACCCCTAATAAGGCCTGATGTTTTGTCATGGATCATGGGTTCTTTTTTCGTCCTTATTTTCTTTTTCATGGAAAATAGTAGTAAATAAACATCCTACGTAGCTAGAAAGTCAAAACTTACCAGAAAAAGAAACATTTAATTGTAGAATAATCAGTTTTAGAATGGAGAAAATTATCTGCAAAACTGATCAGCTTAAAATGAACAAATGTGGGAATTCTAGAATAAAACTTTAAAGAGAGAGAGCGAGAGAGAGAAATAAGTCAAAATCTTCTCAATGGTGCATGGCTTTTTTTTTTTACCTTTTTAGAAAGTCAACGATGAGATCCAAGGATATTGTTCTTTATTTTATTTTAATTTTTTTTTAACGATCTGCAATGGTCAGAATCCCGTGGACGTAGACGGCGATCATAGTGAGTGAGTTCGTTGTTGGGCAGTTTTTGGTGAAACCCGCTCGCGTTGGATACTAGTCGTTGGACACCGGGATTCGTGACGGCCGTTACCTGGCCCCCCACGCCGCGGGCCCTGTGGAAGCGCTTAACGGACGTTAAGGAGCGAGAGAGAGAGAGAGAGAGAGAGAGAGAGAGGGAGAGGGTGGAGAAACGTTGCGGCAGTGCCGGGATTGGGATCGGGGAGGAAGACGGAAGGATCAGGACGGGCTAGGGACAGCGGCAGAGTACTGCCGCGTTGATACCCGAGGGAAGAGCGGTAGCGAGAGCTGCCGGAGAAGGAGGCGAGAAAGATGGGGCTGATCTCGGGCATGTTGATGGGGATGGCGGTGGGGATTGCGCTGGTAGCGGGGTGGGATCGAATGATGAGATACCGCAGCACCCAGCGCATCGCCAAGGTAGATATTGCTTTCTCGCCCGACCGTTACTTCTCTTTGCTTGGTTAATTTTTCTGGTTTATCTCAGGTTCCTGGTATGTCCTTCCGAACAGGGGTCCCCAGGGCGTTGAATTATGGCTTACTTTTGGGTTTTAATTGCTTCCTTGCATTTCATTTCGATCGTTTCTGGAGGATGGCTAAAATGCAGTTTTCTTGGACTCGGAAAGATCTATAGTGTAATTGGAGTTCCTAATCCTTTTTTCCATAAAGTTCTCTTGAATTCTCAGTCTTTTTCTAAAAAGTTATGTAATTATACTGAAAGTAAACGATTATTTCTGCGTTGATGAGGATTTTTCGATTATCAAGCGTCTCCTTTCTGCCTTACACGCTCAATATTTCCTTGATTTTGTTAAAATTCTATGACTTATGTTGCTGTACCTTGGCGTACGTTCGGATCCTCTTGAATGCGTTCATTTAGAGCCTCTTAATCAATTGGCTTCAACATCTAAACAAACCAGGAAAAATCTTTGAAATTTTCTAAAAAAGATCACTGACACTACTTTTTCGTAAGTTGTAACAAGTAAAAGACAGTGAATCTTCGTTTTTAATGGGCCTACGCTGGAAATCTCTTAAAGTAATATATTCACTCGAAAAGTTGTATCTTTTTTTTTTCCGGCTGATCTAAGCACGTGTTAAAGATCATAATCTCGAATATGCAGTCTACAGAGGGAGTGGCCTAACCTTGAGGTTCATACTGCTATTGTTTTCTACTGAAATAAAAGTGAGGTGCCGGTGAAGTTTGAAACGCAAGTTTTTGTAGGTCCCAGTTCGGAATATTCACTAATATCACTTCTTTTGTCAGCAGTACAACCATATGATGCACCTATGAATTATTTTAATATTTCGTGTTTAATTTTGAAATATTACTTTATTTTAGGGTATACACACGGAGAATGGTCGCATCTTTTCGATTTTATTTCTCTAAACGTTCTTGTTTATTACACACCAAGTTCTCTTATCATGTCTGTGACACAATGCGAAACAGCATTTAACGATCTTCTCTGCAGGCTGTTGATATAAAGCTCCTTGGTTCCCTCACGAGAGATGATTTGAAGAAAATATGTGGTGACAATTTCCCTGAATGGATTTCCTTCCCAGTATATGAACAGGTCCACCATTTGTCATGAAAGAGCTTTCTTTTACTTGCTACAACTCGTTTTTAATCTACTTGATGACCAATTAAAGAATTTTGCATTATTTAATTTTTCAATGGGCTTTCCAAGTGCTCTAAGACATAGGAAACATGGGAATTCTTATGAGGATTTAATAATCATAAAATTCTTCAACTGTAAAAGATATATTAAACACATTTACTCACTCTATGTGATTGAACTATAGTTCCTGAGATTTAGTGGGTGGTTTCTGGTGTCCACTAGAGAATAGTAATGGCTCAAAAACATTCATGTGTCATTTTCGAAAACATACTAAACTTCACTTTCTTTCCATTGGGTAATGAACACTTAAAATGTGAAATTAGCCTTTTGGGACGTTTGACTCTTATCTAATGCTGGTTGCAGACGCTAATATACTTCATTTCTTCTGCTTAGTGCTTTAGATGAGACCATCCTGCCATTTGGCATTCTGTAGATGCCCATGTCCGTGATAATTAGTCTCTATGAAACACTCAGATCAACAAATATTTTCTTGTAATTTTCTTTTCATTGGTAGATATTTATCACTTTTATAGTCATGGAATCTGATAAACATCGTTTTGTTAATTATATAGTTTTGGTGGCATTTTATCGGTTCTTTTCTTGATCTCTATTTCCTTGTAAATCTAATGAGCTTTTGAAAGTGTCCTCTTACACCTCAAACCCAGCTAGTTTCAACCAAATTAGACTTGACAACTTTATAATTCATTGCACGATAAATTTTTGGTCCGTAACTAATGTTATCATAATAGGAAAAGGACTCGACATATGATGTAAATACACCTATTTTAACAAGAAGTTTTAACAAGGTTGTTTGATTAAAAACTTTGTAATTATTTTAAATGTTTTTTTCATTGCGAGCGCCTCACTTGTCTAATGGTGTTTGACCTCCAGTTTCCTCTAGTTTTTTTTTTTTGTGAAATTAAGCTCTCACATTTTTTCATTCTTCTCGCTAGCTTTAATATATTCTTATTTTATGTCTAATGAAAGGGTTAGTTTCATGTACCAGATGAGATCTTCAACATATTTCCTATCGTTACAGAAGTATGGAAATGTTATTGTTTTTTTAGCTGCTGATTGACTTTGGTACACTCTGCAGGTTAAATGGCTAAACAAGCTGTTGAGCAAGATGTGGCCTTTTATTGCAGAGGTAAGCCAGATTTGGTGATAGTCCTTCATAGCAAGCTTGTTGTGTAGAGCTTTATGACGATGGTGCTGTTAGAATAACTTGGTTTATCTATAAACGCCTCTGACTAAAGATGATGCCCCATGCTTATTTTCGTTGGCTACAATGCATGATTAGCCTTTGACAACTTTAGGTCAGCCTTATGTAACTTCTATGTAAATTTATTCTTCGATATCCTCACAGTCTGATGTAACTTACTGCTCCTACACGTCTTGGTTTTTATGTTTTTCTTATTAATTGCTCCTTTAGGTTTACTTGCATTGCGGAATAGTTGGACTCATCAAAAATCTGTCGACCCATCCATTGTCATGTTGATGGTGCTTGTGATCTATTGTCTGTACCTGAAAGATGCAAATCATTGTCCTTTTACTTAGTGGAAAATGATTTTTATTTGTAATTCATTGGAGTTTTCTACTTTTTCTAGTTTTTGTTGAAATTTTATATTTCCTAATTTTCCACTCGTAATTTGGTTCAGGCAGCAACAGTTGTTGTGAAGGAATCCGTTGAGCCTATACTTGAAGAATACCGACCACCAGGAATATCCTCACTAAAGTTCAGCAAGTTTTTTCTTGGAAACGTGCCACCTAAGATAGAAGGTGCCTACCGAATTAATGTAGACATATCAACATTTCCTTATAATGCATGGTTTTGGCATGTGAAAAATGTTTGTCATAGAGATTGGATCGCATGTCAAGAGTTGAATGTTACTTTCTCATGAAATTTCTTCAACCCTGTAATTTAGAATACCCTGAGTGCTATACGATCATCCTATCAATCATAGGGGATTACAATAAACAATTATTTTTTTTCCGATTAGCAAAATTAGATATCTGAAATGTGATGGAAAAAACTTGGAAAAGCCTGGGATATGTTAAAACTCCAGGCAGCAGCAAACAATTGGCGCTTCTCTAGCGGGACCATCACATTTTGCGTTTGGTGAATTGCAAGGTGCAGACCATAAGAATGTTGAAGACTGATTCGCTTTGTCAGGATGCCAGCAGATGATTTGGTCTGTGACATTAGAGCCAACATCAACCTTGTGGGGGGATACTTTAGTACACAGAGAAAAAAAAAACTGGAAGTAGGTTGTTTAGCAAGGACGATCTTATGTCTGGCAAAGGGAAATTGAGAAGTTACGCATAAAAAGGTTTGCAGAAATGATTGGAGAATCATCTGTGTACTTGAACAAAAATTCACAATCCCAACCTAGAACCCATAAAAAGGTGGAATGTGTGCCCCACCACCATTTGAGATCACACGTTGGTGATGAATAATCATCCCAATAGGAAGCAGGAATTGATTGTGAATTATTTGCTGAATCTGAAAATTTATGCTTAAGAAACATGGAAAACCCACAAAGAACTAGGTCATAGCTGTTACACCTTTCTGAGGCTTAGTCACGCATTTGTGAGGAAGGAATTGATAAACTCATTCTGTCATCCCTTCTGATCAACATATTTGGGGGGATTTCTTGTCCTCATTCCTGGTCACGTACATTGCAGCAGGAATCATTAACATACATGTTCGGCTCCCTCGTTCTGGATTCTATTTATGTGTATTAGTGAGGCCTGACATTCACTATCTACCAATGGTGTGCTCCTCTCTGATCATTGTTAACCCCCTGGCGCATCCTTCAGATTTCTGATAATATACAATTTCTAGCTCATGGTCAATTCATGCCAATGTTGTTTACATGAAAAATGCCATCCAAATCTGTCCATTAAGTATTTTCAGTAATGCAGGTATCCGTGTCCAAAGCCTTAAGAAAGGTCAAATTACCATGGACATTGATTTCCGATGGGGTGGAGATCCTAGCATTATCCTCGCGGTTGAGGCACTTGTCGCTTCACTTCCTATCCAGGTTAACAGATTCATATTTCTCACTTCCTATCTATCTTCCTCAGCATTGATGAAAGATTACTCAATGGAATCTGATCTATCATGCCGCTTTAATAATCCTCTTTACCTCATGAGATAGATTATCTTATAATAATCATTCATTGTCCAACTGCAGTTGAAGAATCTCCAGGTTTTTACTGTTATACGTGTCATTTTCCAACTCTCTGAAGAGATACCATGCGTTTCTGCCGTTGTGGTTGCTCTCCTTTCTGAGGTATAATTGAAGGCGCTGGTTTGTGTAATTTATACTTATTTTTGAAAGGAAGCATTGCCTGATCGGAATATGTTTACATAGAAATCTAGTCTGATCAAGCCAACTTAAAATATTAATCTCATGTATATGATGGAACAATTAGCAAAACTATTCTTTCTTATTTTCTATCCTGCTGGAAATAGTTATTATTATGTACCGTGAACAAACTTGGTTTCATCTGTTGCATGTCATGGTTTATGCCATTGTCATCTTTAGCATCCTGGATTATGTCTTGGAGATCGCTCTCCATTAATTCAGGTGGCTCAACATTTTCGTTATTCCTACTGTGTTGTGTACCTTCAACTTAAATTCATGATACTAATGGAAATATAATAACAATAATTGTAGTACTAATATGTGGGAAACAGGAATAATATCAAATATCCTGTCCATTTTGGGATGTTCATACAGAAAATTTGGAACTATTTTGTATTTTTTACCATATGCTTTAGCTGTATTTCATTTCTTCTCTGATGCAGTCCTAACCGTGGCTGGACTTGGGCCTTTACAAGGAAGCCTGCCATCTTATTGCCCTCTCTCTCTCTCTGAACTTACATTGCGTAGCCTTGTTGCCTTTGGGGTGGGTTATACTATGAAGTTATTCAATTGAAATACTCCACTGATCTCTGGGAACTTGATTTCTTCTTTACTCTACCTTCCTGCTATTTGCCTTACGTTACATTACTTTGTCACCCATGGAAATGTATCCTTAAATGTTTCAAGAGGACCATAAAACCATTCTTTCGCCATCTATTATCAATTTGTTAAAATACTACAAAGTGCCCAGGAAAAATAAAAGATCTTTCTGCTTTTGTACATAGTTCGTATGGTAATCTTGATCCTAATCTATATTGGATCAGACTCGCAAATTTGTTGTGCAATCTGACTCTGCGATTGATGCCAGCTCCATCTTCATCCAGTCCCTTGGTCATCACTTTTGGAACCTAAACTCTTAGTATTCTTTTGATTCGGATAAATCTATTGATTTTCCTTTCTTCATGTGAATCATATATCTCGATTTTTGTTTCTAATGTTACATAAAGCTAAAATCGCATAAGAAATATTGCTCCAACGTTCTTCCTATTTAGTGTGGTATTTGGGAGGCTGATAGCATATAGCTGGTCTGTAAAAAGAATTGGCTGATCTCCGTCAGTATCCAAATACGAGAAGTCTGGGCTACTTGTTGACTGACTTAACAAAAAATAAAGTGTTGACTGTTGCCATTTACGTACGTATTTTAAACTCTATAAAGGTTCCAACAATATCATTGAGTGTTCTTGGGAAAATTTCAAGAGGTATGGTGATGAGAAAGTGCACAGGCAGGTTACGCTATCCCTAGAGAGCCTTATCTAGAAAATCATTTTGAAGGTCAGAACAAGAGGAGCTAAGATTATCATAGAATTTGTTTTTCTTGGTTCCAAAGATAAAAAATAGAATAGCATGCCGAAACTCTTCTTAATGTCTTTAATAAAATTAGACGTGGGCTGTGCATCATTTCGTCTGAAAAGAGTACTTTATGTGCCGTTCGTTCGGCTGTTACCTTTTTGCTGTTAAATTGTCTATATTATCCCTTCTGTGCATGATGTATTTCTTTATTTTTTAGTTGTCTGAAAATCTTGATAATATAGCTTTATTTTGGGGGAAATTAAGGTTGACTGAATATATTGAGAACAGAGCAATCTTTTAGAACATCTAGTGTTATCACTATCTTCACTGCCACTGGAGGAGGCATAATAGAGTATTTGAACATTATGAATATTTATGATCTTCTAATAGAAGGCACCGGCTTATTAGATAGAGTATATAATAGGGGGACCCTTTACATTTGAAATGATCTGTTTCCACAGTATATCATTTAGAAGAAAACTTGTTAGTTATTTCTTGTGCGTGTATAAAATGACCATACCTTAGGATGTGAGTTGTTTTCCTTCCAGCCTTGGTATTCTTCTTTTGTTTTGAATGTGAAGAAAATTTATTTTCCTTCATGTACTCATAGCTTATAACACTTCTAAATCTTCTTTTAATAAAATGTTTAATGATTTTTATAAAATTTACGTTTTCGTTGTCCTTGAATAATATACCTGAATATTTCATATTTTATAATGATAAATTTGGTATTCTTCTCGTTTCTTTTGAATGTTAATGAAAACTTCTTCTCCCTCGTGTACTCGGAGGTTGGTTACAACACTTCTAACTCGTCTTCAATCAGAAGTCTTTATCATTTTATCGAATTGGTCTTTTTATTCAATCCTTGAATAGAAATATCTCTCAATGCTTCAATATTTAATATTGACCAGCTGTTTTGTTGTCTATTGTAGCCTAAACCTCGGATAGATTATACATTAAAGGCTGTGGGTGGAAGCCTAACTGCAATACCTGGACTCTCGGATATGATTGATGTAAGTCTTGTACTGTATATAAATAAAATTTCCTTTATTTGGTCATGATTTTAGCAAGGTTCAAATAACTGTGAACTCTGCTTACAGGATACAGTAAATACAATCGTCTCCGATATGCTACAGTGGCCCCATAGGATTGTTGTTCCAATTGGTGTTTCTGTGGATACAAGGTATGTAACATGTATAATGATTCTTTATATACATAAAAATGTATTTATGTAACTATCACGTTTTGAGGGTTCATCATTTGCCTGGCTTGTGGCCTGAAAATGTGTACAATGTTATTTGATTCAAAACTTACGAACCATGTCTTGGCACTATATTTGATGAAAGTATATATTACTACAATACATTTGGTTATAGCATCATACTTTACAGTGAAAGGTTTTACAAATAGTAATGATGTGTAGGCTTCATGTGTTATTGATCCCTCCAATTAGTCATTGATCAATACCCCTTCCCTGCCAAACTTCTTTCCACTTGTAGAGCAAGGCTTTCTAGTTGACGGATACGAATTAGCACATCAAATGATTGTATTATCCTCTCGAATGCCAAGTTTCTGTTTTGTTAATGTTCATCCATTTTAGAGATTATTTTGCGAAGTCAAACAGACATTAGAGGTTTCAAGTAAATGGTCTAAAATGGACAGGTTGATAGATGGAAAATGCTGTGATATATGTTTGAGGCAACAATTTAATGCTGAAACTATGACATTCATCACATCTTATACTAGACAACTCATTAATTTTTGACAATCGACACATTCTCTGGACAGGTGAGGAAAAGTGTTGTTAGTCCAGAGTTTTACTATGTTCTGTTGGGCATCTTCTATGACATTTACTTAAATGTTCCCTCATATTTTTCGTTTCGATGTAAATTCAAATCCATTTCAGACTACCGCATGCTACGAACCGTATTACGGAATTTAGTCATATTGTGTTTCTTTCGTTTATGTTGTGTACTTGCACGCTACACTGCAACAATTAGGAATTTGGAATTCATCGTCTTCAAAAATTGTGCTTGCTTGGTTCACAATGTTTTTGTACTTTTCAAAAAATTATGCATACGATGCTATAAATGAAAAATAACTCTCTTTTGTTCTTTGAACAGTGAATTAGAGCTTAAACCACAAGGAAAGCTTTCAGTCTCTGTTGTTAAGGCAACTGCGTTGAAGAATATGGAAATGATTGGCAAATCTGATCCTTATGTTGTTCTCTATATCCGACCGGTACTCAAGAATAAAACGAAAGTTTTTGACAATAGCCTCAATCCAGTTTGGAATGAAAATTTTACCCTGATTGTCGAGGACAAGGAGACTCAATATATTACCTTCGAGGTTTGATTCTATTTCTTGATCTTCCCCCTTCTACTTCCACTCGTTCTATATCAATATGTCTGTTGGCTCTTTTAGTTACTAGTCGTTTGATCATGATGCTTTCTCTCTCTTTCTGGAAAGAACTAATTAGAAGACTGTACTATCTCTCTGGGTCCTGTGGTAAGGAATGGGAAAGGTATGGCTGGACCCATCAAAGCTTGAGCCACACCTGTCAGAAAAGTAGGTCAGGGTTGGCTTGCCCAGGTCTTTTGTACTGGACCTTTCTTTGTTTTACTTCAGAGAAACGGAGTGGAGCCTGCTACGGTTCCAGACAAGCCTTGCCCATTCACTCGGCCTCTGCCTCTCTCATATATATATGCTTTGGTTTTCGTCATTTAATTTTACCACCTTGAACTCAAGCACAAACACAGGTATCACATTTGTAATGCACTGGGGATTGGGGGATTTAATAAATTAGGGCAGTTCAAATACTGGCAAATTCAGGATGGATTAAGATTATTTTTCACTGCGAACATATTGGAAAACTGTTGCATCCTGAAAGATATGATGGTAGAGAACTGGATACCATAATATTGCTTCGTATAGTATTCAATCATGAATGGAAAATCTACACTGTTATATTATGTTCTGATCATGGTTTACCCAATCGAACGTGGTATTCAGCCCTCAAGTGAGACCGAGGCCCATCAAATAATTTTAGAAACAATACATATATATATATATATATATATATATGTATGTATATATGCCTTCCAATTTATTACACACGTGTAAGGAAAATATCTTGCATGAATCTACTTGCTACCATTTTTACCTGGAAACATCTTATGGCTCATAAGCCTGCGATGCTGCCATTTTTACCTCCTTGGAAGAAACGTTAAGATGATGGCATCGTTTTCATGAATCTACGTATTGAATAATGAATGCTCTGCCTAGGCAGAATGCTGATTTATGCATATTTAATTCCAGTTGTTTATACTGTGTGCAGGTGTTTGACAAAGATATTACTCAGGACAAGAAGTTGGGTATAGTGAAGTTGCCACTGGTTGACCTGGAGGCTGACACCTTAAAAGAGCATGAGCTTAGGTTGCTTCCAGCCCTTGACATGCTCAAAATCAAAGACAAGAAGGACAGAGGAACCCTCACAGTAAAGGTGCATACGCTACATCCAAAATGTTCTTGCATACCCATTTAAGTCAACTCCAATATTATAGATAATTTCCATTCGAGCTGCATGCCTCGGTATATATATATATATATATATATATATATATATATATACACACATCTCAAACTGATGTGCTCTCCCTTTCTTTTATCCTTTAATTATATAATAATAATTATTATTATTAAAACCCACATATTTCTTGAATGTTTCGTGGTAGTGGGTTGCCAGATAATTTTTAAGGCACCGGTTGCAATTGACAAGGATCCTCTCTGAGGAAGAGAACACCAAAGGGCATGTAGAAGAGGGCAGACGCTGATGGCTGATACTCCGTTAGGCGCTCACAAGAGTGATCTTTCAGCTAGCTCAAACGTCAGGAGGTTGACCTTTATGTCGTTGTCAAATCTTCTCTGATAATTCTCCTGCGGATATCATGGTTGGACTTCCATCAATGGAGGATATGTGCTATCAGGGTCTTGACTCGTAATGATCCCATGAAATTACCCAATGTGCTTCATGATGCCAATCCTAATTTGCCATTTCAGGTCTTGTACCATGCATTTACCAAAGAGGAGCAGCTGGCAGCGTTAGAAGAGGAGAAGAGGATCCTGGAGGAGAAGAAAAGGCTCAAGGAAGCAGGAATGATAGGCAGCACCATGGATGCATTTGAGGGCGCCGCCTCCATGGTTGGAACTGGCATCGGCGCCGGTGCCAACTTGGTGGGATCCGGCCTGGGGGCTGGAGCTGGGCTTGTGGGCAGCGGGTTTAGCAAGGCTGGGAAGTTCGTGGGCAAGAGCTTCAACACCAAGAAGAACAGCGGTAGCTCCCCCTCTGTTAAGGCGGATTGACTGGGGGCAGCTGATTTCCTTGAGCCCACCTGCTGGCTCGCTTCCAATAATGAAAGCTTCTACATGTCTTGATGTTCCGGATATCTGGGGGTTTTGGGTTTCAGCCTTTTTCTGTATCTAGTGTATTATCTCAAACTCTCTGTTCCTCGTCTGTGTTGGGCTAATTTGTTTGGAGTAGCTGCCGATTTCATGTCAACTCCACATGGGTTGACTTAGAAAACTTGTGAGAGCTGTGTCGGAGTGAAGATCGAGCACCCTTCAAAGGAAGTTCTGATCTTTGGTCCGAATGGATTGAACCCAAGATAATGTCAAATTCTCTGTTCCTCGTCTGCGTTGGGCAGATTTTCATGGAGTAGAGCTGCCGATTTCATGTCAAATGCACATGGGTTGACTTAAAAAACATGTCAGAGCTGTATCAGAGTGAAGGTCGAGCACCCATCAAAATAAAGTTCCGATCTTGGGTCCGAATGGATTGAACCCAAGATAATCTGACTGTTTCTGCAGGTTGTGTCTCTCATTCTTTCAGAAATCTGTTGATCTTCATAATATTTTCAACTTAATTATTCTGACTTTCCACGCCTTCTCTATGCACATCAAGAACCGTAAGCATAGCCCGTCATTTTCCTCCGAGGGGGCAAATCAGAGTTTTCCATTCCATCTTTCTAGGAAAATCATTAATTATGAACATAAACTATTGAAAGATCCAAAATGCTACCTCCCCCTTTCAATTCAACCGCCCTATTAGTGAATGAAAAAAGGTTGAGAAAGCAAATGGATATATTTTAAGATATTCCATATATCAGATTATTCTCTTATTATCAAAAATATCTGTTTTTTTTTTAAATTATCACTTTAATTGCAACTCTATCGTCAATTTTATCTTTACAAAAATTCATTACTTATATGATGACTAGTCAAATTTGCACTATCCAACATAAAAGTATTTGTCTAAAATATCTTATGAATTATGTATTTTTAAAATTATAAATTCATTTATATTATCCTTTGAGGTCAATTCTGATTCCAAACGGTCTACCATGAATTGCGTATTCTACCGTTTTCAAATTAAAAAAATTATAAATAAATATATTTGGCCCACTAAGTGGACTCTCTCTCTCTCTCTCTCTCTCTCTCTCTCTCTGCATAGATGTCTACCCCTTTTAAATGCCCAATTATTCAAAAATATTATTTCGTCGTAGGCCCATATTCGTTGGTGATAACAACAGCCCGGTTAAACAGGAGGGGAGTTGAGATCCGTGGATCCATGTATTAACAGAGTGCCACGTCCCGAACATGGCCCATCCGGCATCCTCTACCGCTCGACAGCAACGCCGCCAACCGCCACTTCGAACTGAACCAACGACAGGTGCCGCATGCGGCGGCGACTGAATCACACGTGGGGGGTGAGTTGCTGTGCAGTTGGAGTTATCTCTGCGACCGTACCTTCCTTCCCTCTTCATCCCGGCGACGATGGGGGCGGCGAGAACCGAGGAGGAAGAGGAGGACGAGGAGAGCGCGGCGGCGATGGCTCCGGCGTGCACGCCGCAGCAGCGGGAGCTCTTCTACAGGAAGAAGAGGCTTCTACTCCTAGATCTCCATCTCCCTCCCCGGCGGCAGCACATCCTCCACCCCCCCATGTCGCCGTCTCCTTCCTCGCCGTCCTCCCCGTCCGGAGGAGATCAGGCGACAGCGGCGGAGGAGGACGTTGCGGCTGCGGGCGGGGGCTGCGAACACGCGCAGGACTCGCCGAGCGGCGGCGACGGCTGCGCCTGCGACGAGTTCCGGATGTACGCGTTCAAGGTACGGGCCTGCACGCGCGGCCGGGGTCACGACTGGACGAGCTGTCCCTTCGCCCACGCCGGGGAGAAGGCCCGACGGCGTGACCCGCGGCTCTTCCGCTACTCGGGAAGCGCATGTCAGGAGTACCGCCGGGAGGGGAGCTGCCCGCGCGGCGACGCCTGCGGGTTCGCGCACGGCGTCTTCGAGTGCTGGCTCCACCCCGATCGGTACCGCACCATGCCCTGCAGGGACGGCCGCGCCTGCTGCCGCAAGGTCTGCTTCTTCGCCCACTCCCCCCGCGAGCTCCGCGTTCCCCGTGAAGTAGGGGCCGCTGCTCCTTCCTCGTCTTCTTGTTCCTCCTCCTCCGCCGCCGTCGTCGCGCTGGTCGCGCCGGGCGGGGGCGAAGATGGCCGGTGCAATCAGGTCACCTTCCGAGGGGTCGCCGGCGGTGGCACCGTGTGGCCGGACCTTGGCTGGGTGGAGGAGCTGGTCATGTAGAAGATCGCTTGGTGGCGGCGCCTCCCTGTTGCACCGCCCCCTCTGCCGTCGAAGGCCGGCAACGAGATGGAGGCCGGGCTGATCATGAGGCTATTAGGATGTACGACCTTGATTGATGCCACGTCGGTTTCTCTCTCTCTCTCTCTCTCTCTCTGTCCATGCCTGTATACTTCTCGTAAGGTACCGCCCATAAATGCAGCCGTTCGATTTTTGTTTCCTTTTGATGGCAACGTATCTGGGTCGTCCACTTTGGCCGGGGTGATATCCTAGGGGCTGTACCGACCAATGAGAGAAGACTAAACAGCAACCAAAGGAGAGAGAGGGACCATTGTGCCACAGACTTCTTGGTCAATTAAACCGTTTCAAGACAAGACACAATTATCTCACATTAATAAGAATGAGGGATTTTGTGGTATGGATCCCCATTAAAATATACCAATTACTAACATCTAATTATTGGGCTCCAACATCGTTATCTTGATTTTTCGGGTTATGCCACCAAGATTTTTTCCAAAGATAATAGTGCCTCTTATTTAGAAATTGATAGCACACTATATGATTATAAATGGAATAAAAATACACCTAAGTATAATTTAATTACACTATAATTATGTTTCTTGGAACGGAGAGAGAGAGAGAGAGAGAGAGAGAGAGAGAGAGAGAGAGAGAGAGCCATGTTAGAAGACAATTATTTAGTTTTGTTGTCATCTAATCAAGGGTTAAGTCGAGTTGGCCATGTGACGAAATTTAAGGTAACTACTAAAAGTAGGGTATATGGGGTTTCTAGAATGCCATGGATCTGGATCCATATAGGAGTTTCTTAGTAATTGTCCTAATTTATATGAAATCAAAATCAAAGAGTAATAAAATGAAAGACATACATACATAAAATAAAATAAAAAATGAACTTCATGATTATATTACTTTATTCGTATTAATCAATGAACATGATAAATAAACTATGTTACTTAACATATTGTAATCAATTATTTGAGTAGGTAGTACTTTGTCAATTGACACATGGATAATGAATAAATGTGGTTATGAACATGCCCAATGTGTAGAAATGTAACTAAGTTCAATTAAAATTATAAAAAATTATGAAATTGTCTGAATTGTCATCTACACTCTAGAGTACTTGTTAAAGCAGCTAATGGTTGACTCAAAAGACCTATTACTAGAAGGAAGTACATATGATTGAAGATTATGATTTCAATTTTATACATCCTAGCATTGACCAATTATCAAAGATAGCTCTTCTAAAATATTTTAATAATTAAATATTAGGAACCAATTGAAAGATACATACTACATGCATTTTATTTTTAGTTCAACTTATATGATACAATTTATGTAAATGATGTACATAAGAGGACTAATAGAGCTAATTTTATCATCTATTTTTCTTGCTTTATTTAGTTCAATATTAAAGTGATGAGTATTGTAAGTTGAAATTTATATGGACTTTAACTTAGTAGGCATGGTGTAAGGTTCAATATCCCCCAATCTAAGTGTGTAATAATCAATTATAGCGGTAACAAATATTTCAATTATGGAGAAAAAAATAATAAAAATAATGAAATGTTTGAAAACATTAGAGTATAATTTTGAAAATAATAGAGTTGTCATGTCAAAATCCTAATTCCCAATGTTAATTGAGAAATAAACTTTTTCATAAGAATATATCAGATTCATGGCTTGCTTGCCAACTAATATCACTATAATAAATGCATTTCTAATGAGAGAAAATATGTTAGATAATCCATTCTCATCTCTTGCACACAAGCTCATCCAATACTTCACAACAATCTTTCAACTTTAAAGTAAGACAAACATTACAACCAATAATTTTTCAAAAATAGACAAGTGGGATACACAATTTTATATTTTCATTTATATTATATTTATTTCGAAACTATAATTGAACTTTCAATTGCCCCTTTATGTTGTCCTCATTCCACTTAGAAAAAACTGAACACAAAAATCATCAAAATCACTCCTCAATGAGTGTAAGCACTAGAATTCCACACGTGTAGGTGACCAAATGGTCCTATTATTATAGGTGACCTGAAATGGCTGCCCCACTAATTAGTAGACCAACATGCTATAGTAATTTCATAAACATCTTACAAAGATTTTTTTGAAATGAGTCATCAATAATGAGACAAAGAACTCCTTAATTTTCATATCTTCTTATTGAAATATCAGTTTATGAAAAAAATCTAATTAAGGCTGAACTAAAAGCATGAACAAACCAATGAAAATTATGTCTTATATGATATCATTGAGGTTGTTTTCCTAACAGCTTTTGTCTTAGGCCAATGAATGACTGCCCTTATTTTGTTCCCATGGTAGGCTAGATAGAGTGTTAAAAGAAGGTTGGAGGTGAATTGGTTCTTTGAATGTTTTCTCTTTTCTGTGTTTTTTAAATGTTTTTCCGTGACCTATAATAAGTGGATTGGCATATCTTAGGTGGACTGATGTTGCATCAATTAACTTTGGTCAGCACACTAGTTAGAAATCAAACATTCAGATGGTCATTTATACATTCAGCCTTCTTTTACCTACGTTTGCTTATGTGAAGCTCTTAACTTTCCCTTTCGCTATTCTCTTGAAGGGAACAACACCTCAAATTAACAAGATAAAAAAATCCGTCCATACAATATATATCACTAGAGACCAAGGCATTAGCTTAATTTTTCTCTTTTGTTAACATAACTCCCTAAGTTTCACATATGAAGTTGCAAAATGAGCTACTCACAAATGGATCTCAAAATGAATGGGAATGCTTTCTTGATTTGGTAAATATTTATATTCTCAAGGAAGTTTGATCATATTTGTACTTCCACTGAAAAGAGGATGTGAATTTTCAGTACAATTCGATCACATTGATGCCACCTTTTATTATATCTTGAGAGCTCTTACATTAGGCTTTTTATAGAGCCCATAAACATAATTATTGTAATGCAAATGGCTAAGACTTGTCCAGTCAAAAATCTTATGAGACAACCCCTATATTGATATGTAGAACAATTTCACCAAGTTGTACAAATGTGTTAGTATGAGATTTTATGATTTTTTTTTCATCTTATGATAAGTTTCCACTGCTGATAATTAGAAATGCCTTCATAGGTATTTGTGCATTTTGAGATTAGAACAATTTCATAGGTATTAGAACATTTTCACCAAGTTGCACCTGTTTGATCTTAAAGAGAATCGTTGTTCCTAGCCTAAGATTTGATTCATCAATTACTAGGTCAACCATTGGATTAACACACAATGTTAATTCTATTTAGTAGGTCAACTCACTTGAGTCTGGTTTTATTTATGAAACTTCTTTCTTCTCCATTCTGACTTTCTTCTTTTGTCACTCCTCATTTAAAGTTCTTATTTTTATTCTTTATGCTTGAAAATATAATCAAGAAAAAATCGAATAGATATAACACTTTAATCTTCTTGAAACCAGTAATGCAATGATAACATAATTTCAATGTATTTTAAGTAGAAAAAAAAACTAAGCCACAATACATAACAACGAAGTTTTTAAAAAAATGGATCCCAATTTTGTATCTTATGTAGAAATATTTTGATAATACCAATTCAAGAACAAACTTTTTGTCTCATTATGGATACAAACCTTAAATCCAAATAAGGTTTGCATGCTTAATGAGAGAACATATATCATATCATCCATTATTGACATTATTGTATTAACTGAAATAAAATTTATCATTGATTTATCTAGTTTGAATAAATAAAATGGAGCTAAAACTTATCACAACAACTTTCACACTCCAAACAATAGATGTAAGTGGAATATTTAATAGAATAGATGTGCATGACTTTATTTCTGAAAAATAAAGATCAAAGGGACTGATAGACAAAATTATAGGTGTGGTGATCTTCATCTAGTATAGAGATGTAAATAAAATATCTAACCTATCTATATACTGCTTCAAACTATTTACCTTTCCTTCATAATATCAACTTGAGTGGCTACATTAAATAGAAAAAATAGATTATTATCTTTGAGGTGTAATGATACGATGATATACTGCAACAAAAATTGGATCAATAGATACCAAATCCTGCAACTTTGTTTCTAATAATTTATGATAATGATTGATATTCATTCAAATTTTAACTTTCTATTAAGCAGTCCAATTATATTTACTGTTCTATCCACTACTGGCCCTTAAATCACAATGGCATTAGTCTCTCATGCAATTCAAAATCGTCACTAAAACTACTGACTTTGATTTGAATACTTATTTTTTTATAAGTTTTAATAATTTCATATGTTCTAGATTATTTTTTACTTCTAGTTTTAATTAGCACATGCACTCTGGTTAGACCTTTTTGTTGAGAAATAAGGGTCCTCAAGAGTGATCTCTCCTCCTTCTCCCCTTCCCTACGATAACCCTTTGTGGGATAGTGTTGTACTACAAGCTATGATACTGTCTTGTTTTCCAATGAGCGTTAGCTGCATTCTCTTCTGTGAAAATTTCTCAATGTCTTAACTCTAATTCATTTCAGACTTACGGGTTTGGCCCGATTTGAATTTAGTTGAATCGCCATGCAACTCTCTATTATGATTTGATCGCTAGCAGTCACCCTTTGGCAATTAAAATCCCAGATTTTAGAACCCTAGTTCAGGTGAAGTTTGAGAAAGTTTCTTCTTCCATAATCAACTTAATCGACATTCGATTACCACCCTCTTGACTGTTGTGTGGTTATGAACCCAAGGAGGTGGCGAAGAGCCATGCTAGGTCAGTTGGGCCAGGCTGGACTTGATCGGGGCCCTTGAGACTCCCATAGGACTAAATTTATGTGAATGCGTACACGTACACACTTGGAAAAATAATCAGAAAGTTGGAGGGTTGTGGTCAGACCCATGGGCTCACTTGTCTGCAAGTTATGGAATTTTCCTTTGGGTGGGTCCGTGGCAGCCTAGCTCACATTCATGGCCATGTTCTCAGAGATAGAGAGAGAGAGAGAGAGAGGGAGAGAGAGAGAGAGAGATGGGGAGCTCTGAGATCCCCTATGGGCAGCCAGCGCTTGGGTAGAGCTCAACCGCTGGTCTGCAGGGTAAGCAACGGAAACCCTAACATTTCCCCTGCGGTGGGGACTAGGGCACCTGCTGGCAGACTTCTTACTACGCCCTCCCCACGGAACTTACACAGATTCAACTGAAGGCAGAGAGAGAGAGAGAGCTAGAGAGAGAGAGAGAGAGAGAGAGAGAGAGAGGAAAGTTGGGAAGTAGCATGGTTAGGAGGCTAGTGAGAGGGGGAAGGTGGGGGGGTTCCCAGCTGGGCTGTCTTCTCTCATTTGGTTCTCTCCATTTTTATGTCATGATCTTCTATTATAATGTGCGAATTCCTAGCAGAGTCATCGTTGCCCTCATCGTCTTCTTCTTCTTTTCCTTCTACGGCGTCTCTCCCCCACCACCGCGGAGCTTATCGTAGTAAACGATTCACGTGAGGCAGAAGAGAGCTTCCTCTCTCAGATTTGCTGGGACCAAGGCCCGAGCTTGTCCCATCCCACGCATCTCCCATCTCTCTCTCTCTCTCTCGCTAAAACTCCATCTCTTTGTTTCTCTCTCTCTCTCTCGCTAAAACTACATCTCTTTGTTTCTCTCTCTCTCTCTCTAGCTAAAACTACATCTCTTTGTTTCTCTCTCTCTCTCTCTAGCTAAAACTACATCTCTTTGTTTCTCTCTCTCTCTCTCTAGCTAAAACTACATCTCTTTGTTTCTCTCTCTCTCTCTGTCTCTCTATCGTGTCGTCTGTCTCTAGCGGAAAAGAGTAGAGAACGAAAACAAGAGAGACAGAGAAAGAGAGAGAGAGAGAGAGAGAGAGAGAGAGATGGCTGCAAGAGGGCGCCACTTCCGGATCCTTGGAGGCGGGCGCCATATTCAGCCATGTCTTCTCTCCGTGACCTCCTTACCCAGGACGGCTTCCACCGCCACAGACCAACCAGTGCCGGCGAGTCCCGCCGCCGCGTCCGGCGGCCGTCGCCATCCTCCAGGACCGAGTCGGCGGCGACGACGGTAGCCTCCTCAGACGCGCCGACGACCAGCTCCTTCCTCTGCCGGGACCGCAAGAGCGTCGACATCTCCGCCGGCCGCCTCCGGCCCCATGGCTCCCCCGCCGTCTCCTCCAGTAAAACCACCACCGGCTCCGCCAAAGGGTCCAACCTCCCTCCGCCCTCCTGCGGCGGCGACACTGCAGCGATCTCCGTCCTCTCCGGCTTCGTCGGGCGGTTCTCCGATGACCCAGCCTTCAGGCGGCGGATCCACGAGAGGTGCTCCGTCTGCCTGGCGGCGCGCAGGAGGGACTCGGCCCACGCCGCCCTCGTCAACCTGGACATGGCCATCGCCACCGTCGAGAGGCTGGCGGAGAAGCAGGCCCACCGCCACCACCGCTCTCTGAGGAACTGCGCCAAATTGCTGGACCTCGTCGCCTCCCTCAACTCCCCCAAGCTGAGGGCCGGCTGTTCCTGCGGTGTCCCCAACCTGCACCTCGCCGCCGTCGCCAACCTCTACCTCGCCGTCGTGCACAAGATGCGCGGGGACGACGGCGGCGCCGCTGGGCACCTACTGCAGATCTTCTGCGACGTGCCACACCTCGCGAGGAAGAGCCTCCTTCCCGAGCTCTGGGAGAACTTCTTCCTCCCCCACCTGGTCCAGCTCGAGGTCTGGTTCCACACAGAGAGGGAGGCCCTGCAGAGCGCCGCCGGGGGGGAGGGAGAACGGAGGAAGTGGCTCTACAGGGCGTACAGCGATCAGATGGACTTGGGCACCATGCAGCTAGCTATCCACTACAAGCAATGCATCCAGAGCGGAGATTTATCTTTGGCGGCGCCGCCAGTGCCGCTGCCGCCGGCGGCGGGGGCGGCGGCGGCAGCGGCAGCGGCGGGGAGTTACCACGCCGGGTCGGGGAAGAGATCGGTCTCTGTGCCCCCGAGTTCACTCGCCCAGAACCCGTATGTTGTACATACGCTACTGCTGATTCTGATTCTACCCAAAAGTGGATCCAAGCGATTCGGAATTCCTCACATGTGGCCATCTCTTTGTAGACAGGGGGACGTGGCATTCCTTCGGACTCGAGCCGCTGTCGGGGAATCTGAGCCTGCGCCTCGGAAGACGAACCCGTTTGGATTCCTCTCATGCCGAAGCGATGCAAGCGGGGGCGACCTGAAACACGGGGTTCCAGGGAAATCGAATCCAAACGGAGGTCCCGCTTCCCGCAGGGCGACCCCGGAGAAGCCGCGCAGTTCTGGGAACTCGATTCCCAGAGCCCCATTGCTCGACCTCGATCGGGCCATCTCCTCCATCTCCACCTCCAACAATCTCGGAGAATGCGAGCTCGCCGTGGGAGTGATCTCCAAGGTGTGGATCGAATTCCATGGCGACCCTGCCGTGGCGGCGGCGCTCTCCACGGCGCCGGTGGTGGAGGGGCTTCTGGAGGTGCTGTTCGCCTCCAACGACGAGGCGATCTCGGAGCTCGCCATGGCCGTTCTGGCGGAGCTGGTGGCGAGGAGCGAGGTCAACAGGAAGGTCGTTCTGCGCGCAGATCCGCAGCTGGAGACCTTCCTCAAGCTCTTCAGGACGCGCGGCCTCTTCCTCAAGGCGGCCGTTCTCCTCTACCTGTTGAGGCCTAGGGCAAAGCATATGCCGTCGCCGGACTGGATCCCCCTCGTTCTGAGGGTTCTGGAGCACGGCGAACAGCGGCAGAAGTTATTTTCTGTTCAGTACCGCCCCAGCTCGGCGGCGTTCTACTTCCTCGACCAGCTCCTCCGGGGTTTCGATGTCGATCGAAACACCGAGAACGCGAAGCAGGTCGTGGCGCTGGGGGGATTAGGGATGCTGCTGCGAAGGTTCGAGGAAGGGGATGATCGCCAGATGTACAGCGCAACGCACCTCCTGGTGACCTGCGTTAGGGCAGAGGAGAGCTGCATGGAGTTCCTGGCGGAGAGGATGAAGAAGGCTTCGGTGATGGAGCTCCTGACCGGGAACCGTGCGAAGTCCAGGGAGTGTGCTCTGTCCTTGCTGGTAGAGCTCATCTCCCTCTGTAGGTACGTCCTTTGCCGGCACTCCCTCTCGTCTAGGTCGCTTCATTCTTGAAATACAGAAGTAATGGGTGGTGATTAACCAGGAGGACACAAGTGAGATCGTTCCTGGATGATCTGAAGAACGAGGGCTGCTTGAACGCGATGCACATCTTGCTGGTGTATCTTCAACAAGCGCCGGCGGAGCAGCGGCCCCTGGCAGCAGCCATCCTCCTGCAGATCGATCTCCTGGTAACAAATACCCTTCTGAATCTGATCGCATTAGCCTTGCGTGACGACTGCTTAGAACCCGAGCAAGGACGAGGAAACGTCTTCTGATCCTTGTAGAGCTTCTGGAAATGCTCGATCATGTCGCAGGGAGATCCGCTGCAGTACAGCGTCCACAGAGAAGAAGCCATCGACGCCCTCGTAGAAGCCATGGACCGCAGCTCGAGAAGGAAGGTCCAGGAAAGCTGCAGCAGAGCACTGTGCCTTCTCTGTGGCCGGTTCTCCAGAAACGGGGAAGCTTCCATGGAGGCATGGCTGCTCAGAAAAGCTGGTCTCGATAACCCCTCCGCGGACTCCTCCGGTGGGAAAGAGGTCATGGCGGATGAAATCACAAGCCTGGTATGCTCCCTTTCTTCATCGTTCGCTCCACCTGCTTCTGGTTGATCTTTGATCGGACCCGGCGGCTTCCTCCCCCATCGAGTTTTTCACACGATTCGTTTCAAAAATCTTACTGTCATCATCTTCTTCTTCTCCGAAGAACTGAGCCCGACGACGTCGGATTTCAACGCGCAGGACGAAGAGGAAGCTGCCATGGAAGACTGGCGAAGAAGGTTCAGCAGCATCTTGCTTCACAGGGGGAGCGAGAGATTCTCAGCCTCTCTCTCCAATTGTCTGGCGCATGGAATCCCATCCTTGGCAAGATCCTCTCTCTCAATGGTGGCGTGGATGAGCATCTCGGTTTCGCCGTCGCCCGGCAGGGGGGCCCTCTGGGCCTCGGCATGGTCGCCTCTGATACCCAGCTTGCTGGACTGCCTGAGCTGCGATCGAGCCGTCGAAGAAAGGGTTCTGGCTGCCTTCTCCCTCCGAAACCTCACCAGAAACTCAGGTACGGACTCCACCCAGAATAATAGGCGTTGACCACGACTGCCCAAGGATCGAACAACCTCGACTATCGGAGTCAACGACGAGCTTCTTCTCACTGATCTCCCCCCTCTGTTTCTCGCAGAATGCCTCCCAAAGCTTCTGCCTTTGGACCGGCAATCTGTTTCCCTGCTGCATGATCTCGCGGAGGTGACCTGGACTGCGAGAGAAATCATCCTGGCTGCTGCAGCTGATCCAATAACGAGGCCGACGAATGTAAGAAGAACCTAAACGCAGCAGGATCCGACGTACGAGCAGAGTCCTTGCCTCCAGTCATGATGGACACTGTGATCCACTCAGACGGCGACTTGTGCTTGGTGATCACCCCCTATTGACTTTGTAAAGCCAGATTGACTTCACTAGAGGCTAATAAATCTTTCGGCCCTAATACCGGCTCTTTTCAGCTTCATCACAGTACATTTGAAACAGTCTGATGGGCATAGAGAGAGAGAGAGAGAGAGAGAGAGAGAGAGAGAGAGAGAGAGAGAGAGCCCATGTCTATGGGTTGGAACAGAGATCAAGAGGGGCCAGAGTACCTGCCTATGCCTTGAACTGCCACTCTCTTCGGCACATTGTACGGTGGGGCTGAGTCTGCGGGTTGACCCACTTCAGGATGCAGTGGAGGTGGAAAGAGAGAGAGAGAGAGAGAGAGAGCCCTTGTCTATGGGTTGGAACAGAGATCGAGAGAGGCTTGAGTACCTGCCTATGCCTTGAACTACCACTCTCTTCGGCACATTTGGCAGCTGAGTCTGCGGGTTGACCCACTTCAGGATGCAATGGAGATGGAAAGAGAGAGAGAGAGAGAGAGAGAGAGAGAGAGAGCCCTTGTCTATGGGTTGGAACAGAGATCCAGAGAGGCTTGAGTACCTGCCTATGCCTTGAACTGCCACTCTCTTCGGCACATTGGGCAGTGGGGCTGAGTCTGCGAGTTGACCCACTTCAGGATGCAATGGAGATGGAAAGAATGGTTGCAGGCGCCCCAAACTGCAACAAATACGGTATGGTTATAAAAAGCATCTACATATTATTAGAATATACCCAAGTATTAGAACAAATAATGGAACGGATTGTGTCAATATCCATGCCTTTTTTACACGTTTCATTAGATGTTTATAATACATTTTATTCAAATCCATCTGAGTTGATTTCAAGACAGGATAGATACTGATGAAAGTTCATAACTTGGCCAAAAATGTCAACAAGAAGACGTAGAATGAATACATAATCCAAGATGATATAGATAGAAATAATAAAAAGCATTTGGGAGAGGCTATGAAATGTTCTACGAGACAATCTGATACTAGAACTGTGTTTTCTGAAAGGCTGAAAGGGACCTAAGATTTCTTTCTTTATTCATCCCACATTTCTGTATGGATCCTCCAATCTATGTACAAAGAAGACTAAACTGGTGGGTTTCCAGAGAACCAGATCAACAGCAAAACCACAGAGCATCCAAGATAAGAGCAGCGATCCCAAAAGCCTCTCCCTAGCGGAACAGATGCCTGATATGAAATCACATGCAGGTGCTCTACGCTGCTGCTCCAAAGTCTGTAAAAGAACTCCTCGTTTGGTTCTCAAGTCATGAAGAGGACAATCTTTTTTAAAATACAGATGAGCCTGAATATTCAATATCAATATTGAGGTACCTATACACTCTCAGACTACAATCAATTCTATCAGAGTGAAAGAGAGAGAGAGAGAGAGAGAGAGAGAGAGAGTGGAGAGTGAATTCATGGCATACAACAGGCCTCCAGAAAATGACCTGTTTTAGATACAAACAGATACTCGAGAAAATTTCTTACACAGTTGCTGTGATTTCGGTATTGACCTGGTTTCAGAAATGGAAATCCATTGATTCTTCCTCTCTGATTAAGCACTCAAGACTCAAGAAGCTCTTCCACGCTTGGTTTTCCACAAAAAGGAAGAATAGATAGATTAACTTTCATCCCTTTGCCATCTGTTAGTTGAAAGCAAATTTTATTTTTTTTCGTGGGGCGTTGCATTGATTTTTGAAAAATAAAATTGACGTGAGATGAATTCACTTGATTATGTTCGTCCTTGCCAGTAATTAGTAGTCAACCATCAATTGCTTTCAGTTGACAACTGGTGGGCAGTACATCTGATTGTCGAAGATAGCTACTAGCAGGTCTTCACAACTCACAGCAGTTAATTGATGCGATATAAATAAATTAATATTGAACCTACCAGCGCATTGCAAACAGTTTTTTGGATTGGATTGCCCCCAATAACTCTACCAAAAATGTCAGATCACACGGTTGCTCTCGGGCGAAATGCACCATATCTATACTGCTTGCATGCACTGGTTACTGTTTTGGCATTACAACACTCGCCGATTTTAGAGCTGAATGGCAGCACAACCCTGACAGAGATTATCAATCCGCTTCTGCTCTTTTGTTCATCTAAGAGAGATGATAGCCTCCATATCTAGTGAATCGATATCTCTTAATTAAGCACTGTTCTAGGCACAAAACGAAAAGAAAACAAGCATTGTCAAAATATTACCATTTATAAATAGCTTCATCTCCTATGAGAAATCCTACGCTTTGCTATGAACCGAGGTGTAGGAAACGAATTGAATGAGTGTTCTATAACAATACATTTCTATTCTGGTTCAGATTGAAGCTTAATCTGGGCAAAAAAACTACCGTGACAATCATCATTGACTTACTTAATGGGCAATCATCGCCAGGATATTTGCAATCGGGGCAGCAGCCGTCGAATGCCATTCTACAAATACCACAGGTTTCGTCTTGCGCATCCCAAGTCCATGAAGCCACTGCATGCCACCTGGAGTTTACACATGTTATAAGAAGAAATAGCTCAGGAGTGGCTGCCATGTGTTATAAGAAGAAGGAGGTTCAGCCTCCCACCCGCAGGAAAAATAAGAAGAATAAGAAGGAATACATGTTCGGATAAATGGGCATCAAGTTTTAGATAATGTTGGAATCATGATCTCCATGATGCTGATTATGATGCTTTTTTTGGGATATAGGACATAAAACTATCATTAATATATCTCCTCCAGCATAATGATGATGTTTAATACATCTCCTCAACATATTTTGTGTATATGTTTCGTATAATGTGCTGGTTTTGCACACATCACGTAAGGGTGAAGATGACATTATTCACTCAATTTTACTCAATAAGAAGCCTACACCCAGGTCAACTCATCAAGCTAACCAGGTCAAACAGTTAAGCCATGACACAGGGCAGGTCAACCCACTATCTGTCTGATGCTATACATTCAACAGTTCATAAAAAGGTCGGACCAGTGTGTACAGGGAAAACGCATCCAAGACGAAGAGTGAAGATCTTGAGCCTACACCTACAGAGTCTGAAGAATCAGCCACCAGAGATCCCTTTCCCTTGAAACAAGGCAACTGGGCATTGACTCCGGGGGAGGATTGAAGAGTTTTGTGCCTGCCAGATGCTCTAATATGTTCTTTAATAATTTCGTCCCATATTTCTCGTATACCCAGCATCTTCCTGGTCAGATCGCACCTCAGAGTCCAGCAGCTTTAAAGAGAGGAGGAAAATTGATTGATAGCAGGAGAGGAAGAGATCACGTACTCTGTCGGAGGACGCCGAATAATTTTGCATAAGCGGATCAGGTTAAGAAAAGACATGGAGTTCAACGTTTATAGTTAGCGATCAATGGATCAATCGAATCACTCGACGGAGTAACTGACGATAAGATCAGAGGATACGGATGATCTTGACCTTCATTTCCGCTCGATATGAAGAAGATGAAGACCTGAGGAAGAACGCGGGCAGATGAGAACGAGAAAGAGCATGGAAGCTGTAAACACGGATTATATATTGAAGCGGAGAGATTATCAATGAGGATTCCGCAGCCAGAAGTCGAAGAATCTAAGGGAACACTGCAAGAGAAAAAAATTTCCAAATCCCCTGGAGTGTAGTTTCAGAGGGTAGAGAGATTTCCTCCTCTCGCAGACACAGCAGGGGAACGCGAGCAACCATGGAAGGAAAAACGTGGGGGGTTCCACGCCACCAAGAACTAATGCCTCTTGATGCGATCTTGCCAAGAACTCTGTACGACCACGGCAGCGAAATGCGTGCATCAATCGCCTCCCTCGCGGTTTCCAAAGCATGGGTTTCTGATCATTCCATCTCAGACGGGGGAAACCACAACGACACAGAAAGAACGATCGATCGCTCGATAGATAGATAGATAGCGAGAGAGATTGAGAGAGAGAGAGAGAGAGGAACGTACCGGACTGCGTTTCCTCTCCGGTGTTGGTCTCCCGCCTGGGCGATGCTATGTAGCTTAGGGGAGCGCGCGCTGCTCCAGCGGGATTTGTAGTCCGAAAGCGCCAAACTTTGGCCAATGTTTTTACCTAGGCTTAAGATCGTAGTGGGAGTCAAGCGGGCGCATTTATCACGATCTCCATAAGATCTCAAGAGCAAAAGCAGCGGCTTTGATAACCGGCTAGAACTGGAATAGGCTGGGTTATCCGAGATTGGTAAGCGCGAGGCCCGGTCGAGGGTTAATGCGGACAAAATCCAGCAATATAATCCTCCCCGTTTAACTCATTCCGGCTATTATTTAAGCATTGAACTCCAAGCTCTTAAGAAATTTCTTGCCCGCGCTCCTGATTCTGATCTGTTTCCAGGAAGCACTCTCTAACCTTTGTGGCAATCCCATGGCCTCATGATCTTGCCTAATCTCTCTCTCTCTCTCTCTCTCTCTCTCGCTACACCTCCTACTGTGTGTAGCTCAAGCTCAAGCTCGGGCAAGAGTTAACATGGTCTGCATCTACCTCTCTCTCTCTGACCTTGGACGACTTTGGTTGAGCCGCCTGGTACGTTGACATCTCTAATGTCAACTTTATAACTGGAATTTTTGTCTGGGGCGAAAAAAGAAATTCACGACGTTGTGCCTGAGAAAAAACCAATTTAAATGGTTCATGTTGGTCGTATAATCACATTAAATTAAAGTTATTTTGTCGAGTGTGCTACGTGAAATGGGTATAACCCATAATTAGAAAGAACCCATTACAACTTCAAACATTGTCCCAATATTTCCAATTTAATTACTGCTATCAATGCCTATAATGGCTTGACTTATTCTAGGAAAAAATAACACAAAAAAAGACCGACTCTTTGTTCACACGACATACTTTTTTCGATAGGATTTGCGCATAAATATATGCTAAGCTAACAAGATTAAGGTGCACATATTGGGCCACCAAATATACAGAAAATATTTATGTTCTAATGGAGAGTAATTTAGGACTAGAACTTGAGCTTTGAACCCCTCACAGTAGGAGGTATGGTGAGAAGCTCAGAAGATGAGTCTACCGTGTGCATCTATCAGAGAGAGAGAGAGAGAAGCAGAGAGATAGAGAAAGACAGAGTCAGGTAGATGCAGACCATGTTAAGTCTTGCCCGAGCTTGAGCTTGAGCCACACAGTAGGTGTAGAGAGAAGATCAGAAGATGAGCCTACCGTGTGCATCTATCAGAAAGAGAGAGAGAGAGAGAGAGAGAGAGAGAGAGTCCTTTCACTGTTTTCCGTGTTCGTTACATTCATCAACGAGTCGTCTGGCGCCACGGATGGAGCCGGCGAGCCTGTCGACGGCGGCCACCAGGCCAGCTACGGCCTCCGCTGCCGTTTCCGCCCTGGACCGCTCGACCCTCAGCCTCCTCTCTTTCACCTCGAGGAGCTCCCTGTGCCTCGTCTCCTCCTTCTCCTCCCCCGCCATGAGGGCCTCTGCTAACACGGCGGCGCCCTTGGAGATGGCGGACGCCACTCCGCCGCCGCCGTCCTTCCTTCCTCTTCTTCCCCTCACCCTCTTCCTCGGCGGGGAGACCGAGCGGTCGGTTGGGTCAGAATCTGAGGGAACCCACACCGAGAACGTGAGACAGGAACCGGCTGGCCTGATCCGGAGAAGATGAAAGGAAGAAACTAATCATCGTCGCCGCGAGAAGATCTGGCCATGTGGGGAGGAAGAACGGAAGCATGAGGAAGGAAGACGATGACTGCGTGGAGAAGGGATGATGGATTGCTGAGAGAATTCGCAGGTTGTGTGGAACGTCGGTTGCCCATCAAATCTTCCTCCGTGAGCACGAAAGCGAAGGTCGACACTTGGGAAGACTCTGGATTGATTGAAAGTGTGTGTGTGTGTGAGAGAGAGAGAGAGAGAGAGAGAGAGAGATTGATAGCTAGTTAGAGACAGTGTCCGTGTGTGTGAGGGAGGGGGGACGACAAATAGACAGCGAGTGTGTTTGAGTAAGAGAGATGGGGGCGGGGTAGAGAGAGAGAGAGAAAGGGAGGTTTAACAGTCGATGAAGTTCAATCCCAGTAGAAGGCTAGGACTTAAGTTATAGAGTAATAAATAGGTGGGTAGGTAGATAGATACATGGATCCAAAGAGAGAGTGTCTGTGTGTGCGCGTGTGTGTGTGAGTGTGTGAGAGAGAGAGGAGGCAGAAACTGGTTTTAGGACAAGCACAGGAGGACCGACAGACGTAGAACTCGAACTGAGTGAAATCTTCGATAAATTATGCATGCATCGAGAGGGAAAGAGTAAGAAAAGGCTAAAAAATGCTTCTTTCCGGGTGGCTAGTTTAAAAGGCTGTCAAATAATGAGATGAACGAGGACTGAGGGACGGATTTACAGTTGGATTATTACCTAGCCCTTGCAATACCTGAGGAAGAGAGAGAGGTGGCTCCGCCGGCGGCAAGGTTTCCTTCGCCGGCGGCCTATCCGTCGCCGCAATCTCTCCCCTGCCTTCCTCTCTTGTCTCCACAACGTCGGACAAGGCCTCGTAAATCTGAAGCAGGAAGTTCGACGGCAAGCCCTTCTCCTTCCTCCCGTAGCTGTCGAGTTTCCAGTAGGAGAGACCAGCGCCGCCGGTACTGCCGCCGGCCGCCGCCGCCGTCTCGTGGCTCCTCACCTTCTTGTAGTCCCTCATGAGGTTGTCCCACTTGTCGTTGCACTGGTTCTGGCTGCGGTGGCATCCCATCTTCCAGCAATAGTCTTCCACCCACTTCCATCTCAGCTCCGACGGCCCGCCGCCGCCGGCGACCCTCTTCGTCCTCCTCTCCTTGTCCATGCTTTTGGCTTCTATCAGCGACATGGTCTCCTCCAGGGTCCAGTTGCCCTTCCTGTACTCCCTCGCCTTCTCCTCTCCTGTCACTTCGGCCGCCGCCATGTACGGCGAGACCTCCACAACTCTTCTTCTCCCTCTCCTCCTCCTTTTTCTCCCTCCCTCCTCTTCGTCCTACCAACTCGATCTTCTTCTTTTTTCTCGGGGCTGATCTGTCTGATTTAGTGAGCGTATTCACCTATCTATAGAGAATTCGTGGTGGGGAGCGCCCTTCATGCTTTGTCAGTGGTGGGGATCAGGATTGCATGCATAGGAAGCAGCAACACAGGGCGAGAGAGAGAGAGAGAGAGAGAGAGAGAGAGAGAGAGAGAGAGGGAGAAGTGTGGGTAGAGAGGGAAGAGTAAGGTCACCTGGTCGTATCCTTTTTTCTAGCTGGGAGCCTGAGCTTCGTCTTGAACTCTGATCTTTTCCAACCTTGCCGGCCTTGTTCTCTTGGGGGCTTCCCCTCCTAACGACGAGAGCCTTCAGCCCGGTGGCCGTCTGAATATACGAGCCATTGTATATGGAGTACAGACCGCACGGTACACATTTATGTGGGGTTGTCACAGCTAGAGCTAGAGAGAGAGAGAGAGAGCATCCGTGCATATAATAAGTTGCAGTAAACAAAGTGTAAGAAGCCGCCAAGGAGATATCTACTCAAGCAGAATCGGCAAACCCAAGAAATCGCTTACACTGAAACAGTATTTCCACAGCTAGAGAGAGAGAGAGACAGAGAGAGACAGAGGGATGGCGCTCCATTGCGTTGATGGTCATGATCCTCCGTTTCGCATTAAAAGAGGAGGGGCCCGGCCCTGGACGGAGTTTGACGGCTCGACGGGGTATCTCAGTAATGGGTTTGGTCTCGTGAGAGAGAGAGAGAGAGAAAGAGAGATGGGAGAAGGTGCAGGGATTCAGAAAGTAAATTTAAACTTGAAAATACTACTCATCTAAGGTAAAGATAGATTATCAAAACCAAACTCATAAATAAAAATATGATCTCTCTCTCTCTCTCTCTCTCGCCCTTTCACAATAGCCTATGTGCCTATAGTCCTCTCTCTCTCTCTCTCTCTCTCTCTCTCTCTCTTAAGAGCGAGAGAGCCATAAGAATAGCTTCTATGCCTATAGTCCTCTCTCTCTCTCTCTCTCTCTCTCTCTCTCTCTTCTCACAATAGATGGGTGCTTTTAGTGGGCCCAATTGGTTCCATGTTGACTAGGAGGTAGGCTCCATGTATGAACCGGCCTGACGCCTGTTTCTAGGCTTTTCTCCAAGTCGAGTCCGGACCTGCCACGTAGCAAAAGTACGTAAATATAAAAATATAACTCTTTCAGGGAAATATTTGTAGTTTTATACTCAGAGCGTCTCTGGAGTCAAACACGAAACAATGCAGAGCACATGTTATGTTGGTGAGGTCTCGTCAAGCTAAGTGGATCCGGACCCACTGCTTTCGGGTCTGCCGTTTGTTTTCTTGCCGAAGAAGCAAGCCGTTCCCGCCGGAGATCGCCTTCTCCTCCGGAGGGGGTAGTGCCGACCTGTGTGGCATTCTATCTCGTCCTCTCTCTCTCTCTCTCTCAGAGGTCTTTCGTCGATTGAGAGCTGGCTGTCTGAGAAAGGAGGTGGGTAGTTTCGACTTTGCCGCGGCGGATTGCGGCGGCGGGAAGGAGGGGGGGGTGAGTTTTTCTTTTCCACTCGTGATTTGTCCTCTTTGTCTTTGGGTGGCGAGATTGTTCGTTGGTAGTGACCCTTCATATTCGGAGAAGGATGCGGCATTCGATGTTATTCCTCTCCGTTTGGCTGTATCCGCTGTCATTTCTGTCTTGAATCCTAATGGCAGGTCGTATCTCTCTGTGAACGCAGTTCCAAGTGTTTTCCAACTTTCTCCCGTTGCGGCTGGCTACTACTCTCCGCTCACTGAAGGTCCAGACCCTCCCGCATGGTATCCTTTTAAACTCTTTCCCTTTTCCCTCTATTGTCTTGTTATGATTTTTGGGAGTGAAGGAGTTGCAATTTCCATTGCTTTCTCTCCGTAGTTTTTGGACCATCTTGGTCTTCATCTGTTGATACTTTATTTTGATTACAAGTATAGGCTCCGCAGTTAGAAGTTGCCCTAATGGTTGCTGAAGAATTTCTCGTTTTTACCAGCGATGTGTGCCCATCCTTCTATTGTTTATAACTTTATATACTAGTTGCTTTATGGAGATTATTTGGGATGATAGAAATTTACAGATGCTACTAACTTTCGTTTGAAATATTGGTTTTCCTCAGTCCAGAAACTTTCTGATGCTCGATGAAACTCGAACTAGATGAATGAACTGGCCGTCACATGATACGTGCCATGCAACAGATATAAGAAGATCTAGTTTCCTATCCATAGTCTCACTTCAGGTTAAGCTCGAAAGATTCCAGACCGAGCAGAACCTAGTTTTATACTAAGGACTCTATCTTCATCCTGAAATCTTAGGTCTAGATGAAGTCTGATGCGCAGTCTATCTGGCCATCCAATTCGAAACCCAGCAATCAATAGATAAAGTAGGTTGAAATTCCACTGTCCCATCGACCTTGGATAGCCCTTTGATCCTTTCATTGATATGAGTTTCCTTCCTACTTGTACTTCTGAATTTCATTTCAGAGCAGTGTGAGACTAGAAAAGTTAAAAACTACAACCAGCATCACTTCGTTAGCTTTTCGAGTCTCTACCTTCTTATAGGCTGGTTACCTTCTGAATGGAAACATTTTTTTTATGTTCCTCAGATGGTATTCATTAAAGGTTGCAGGAGAAAAGAACATAAAACAGAGGAGCAAAAACTAGAGAGGCAAGTATACCTGTCAATTTTAGTACGTCCAATGATCTAATATTGGATATGAAACCTTTCAGCTCAACCTTGTCCGTACTTCCCTTTTGTATTGAGTGACGGCATGATTCATCTCATCTCAATGGCTAGGTATGATGAATGCCAGAGATTAATATGATTAACCTTTGTGAGGTTAGGATCACAACATTTTGGTGAATAAATGATGATTCTCTCAGGGAAAACATTGCCTCACGTACAGTTAAACTGATTTTTATTAAATATTGCCTCATAGGCTCAAGTGATCAAGTATTGCTTCGCAAGTAAAGGAGTTTTCTTTTCATTGTCAATTTATTTTATATTTTGATACGATCCTCCTTGGAAGGATCGGATCTGAATGAATCCAGAGAGAAACAATTGTATTGATTCTTAAATCGGGACATTGTTCTAGGATAGAACGTCAGGATGACAGTTCTATCAGAGTACAAGAAAAGGAAGAGAGAAGGAAGAGTAAAAGGTGTGGGGAATGAATTCGAGAGGATTCCCATGCGCCACCCCCCCCCCCCCCCCCCCCCCCCGGCTGTATTTATAGTCATCACACATGCTGTGCACGTGTTTCCTTATGCCTTTTATATGTCAGTAATGGGGTCGTATCATGTTTATGACTGAATGACATAGAATAAAATTATCTTGGGGTAAAATTGACTTTATATGTATGTCTATAAATATAAATGTATATTATTGTTCCTTATACTTTCATCTTTTGTTGTGCCCGCTGCCTCAGTGATTGCCTTGTTGGACCATAGTTTGGTGGATGATTTATGTGGAATCATGTCTGCTAGTAAACCATTTAAATTTCCAGAATTTCTGAATGGAATGAGAAAATGATATTGGATATATCCTTTTGTGATATAACATTTTCTATAGTTTCAATTATTTCAAGTCTCTACATGTGCGCTGCCCCAGTTAATTTTCTAATTATTAGAAGACAACGCACAATCATTTTTGAATCTATTTTTTGGCAAAATTATGCTTCCATCTCGTAAATATTTGTGATGAACTATGTTGCGACATGGTGTAGGGTATTCAGGTCAGCCTAACTAGGTGCCACACTGGATCCCTTGGCTGAGTCCCACAATAGGGTCTGATTCAGGTGATCCTCTTGCGGATTGGAATGAGAGAATTGTGACGTGGGCCTTCCTAGCAACTCTGGTTATCCAGACCAGATCAGACTGTTAGGTCAGCCGGGTCAGTCAGGAGTTGACTGATCCATCCAGAATCTGCGGATCACAGGCAGATTGAACCCTTACATTGACCACATCTCCAGCCGATTTTTGGGCCTTCCTCAACTGTGCATATTTTATAAAGATCTATAAATATCATGTTGTTCCTCAGATTGGATGGGATGTTGTGAGGAATTTAGTTACGTTCATTGAAGTATCCAGCAGGGTATCAATCAACACTGATCTGGTTACATTTTAAACGAAATCTACAAATGGGTGGACATCCATGATTTCTTGCATTTTCTCCTTCCCAAGTTATGACATCGGTTTAACTACTGAAAATATTGGAGCTTCTTCATGGCAGGCAGACCCGATCATTGTGCTGGCTACAGGGACTGCAGCCGCTGCATTGGCCGGTCGAAGCCTGATACAGGCATGGCAGGCCTACAAATCCCGGCCCGTTGCTCCTCGGCTACACCGATTCTACCCTGGGGGTTTCGACCAGAAGATGAGCCGGCGGGAGGCAGCTCTGATTCTTGGCGTCAGGTGCTTATCTTCTTGCGGGAAGAGCATAGATTCTGTGGTGGCCATATCTTCTTCATTTGTAGCGTTAGCAATAATAGCAGATAAGAATGAGCTGTTCGTTGATATCTGCTTTCAGGGAACGTGCGGTTGAGGAGAAGATCAAGGAGGCGCACCGGAGGGTGATGGTGGCAAACCACCCGGATGCTGGTGGGAGCCACTACCTGGCATCAAAGATCAACGAGGCCAAGGATATCTTGATGGGGAAGCAGGGTGGCTCCTCATCGTCTGCTTTCTAGTCACTGAAAACTGCTTCTATTACAGTCATACAAAGATCATTGAATTCAAGTAAGAAAATTTCAATTTTATGAGCAATTACAGTTCTTGTGTATACTATGCTAATCATATATGCAATGGCAGTTCTCTCTCTCTCTCACTCTTACTGACTGCCCGGAACCCCCCAATAACTAATGGGAAGCAAGAATGCAATCTGGAAAAGCATTCTGGCCCCTGTTAGAGTCAACCTCCTTGATGTGATTTGAGATGATTATGGCGTAGATCGTGTGCAAAATGGTTGGCAAGGGCTACCTGGATTTAAGCTTGTCTTGGCAAGATCATTCTCTAGAGTAGCCACAAAGTTCCATAGTGTCCACTTCAAGAATTCTGAACAAATTTTTCTTTCCGGGTGGCTCATCCATAAATTTCCTCTCTCTCTCTCTCTCTCTCTCTCTCTCCCTCCCTCTCTCGGTTCCTCTGTCTCTCTGGCTTAGTGACTTAATATGTACAACAAATATTAGTCAGGTTGAACTTGTAAGGCCAGGACTAAGTTTCACAAGGTTCTAGCTTAGATCTTATTTAATGAGCTCAATATAGTCCCGTATCTCATAGTTGATTTGAGACCTAAGCTTGACCTTAGCTCAATTAGGTCCATCCCTTTCATAAAATGATATTTTTATGTCATATATATGGTAATAGAGTTTTAATTGCGACCAATCCAGATAGTGGTACATAGATTTTATCATAATTTATTGCTTCTACTTGAGTAGACCTATATGCTACCAGCCTAACCTTAATTGAAATAAGTATTTCATCATCATTCAATTTACTTTTCAATATCCTTCTATGATAGGTATTTATGTTTTCCTAGATATTAAAGCCCAAACATTAGTTTTATCAATCTAATTTCATCTTATAATTTTTTTTCAACATTTCGGGATAAATTTCAGAATTCAATAAATTCAAGTTTTTTTGTATTTTTCAGTTCGGAACTACTTTATACTATGTTCTTAGCATCGTCTAATATTTCATCTGTCAGATTACTATTAATAAATTTCAATTCTCTTCGAGAATCTCATTTTCTACAGTCTCATCTAATTTAGGAAGCCTAGCATCATTATTGATCTAAATTTCTTTAAATTTAATCTTTAACAATTCTACTTTGCGTTTAATTGAGACTTATTTCTCAATTTTGTAAATAAATTTCACATTTATTATTTCCTCAAAAACTACTTTCTTTTCAATGTAAATTCTAGATATTCTAGCATTTTTACAATCTCCTAGAAAAATTCTCTAATCACATTTCAAATCAAATTCTCTATTGCCTCACCATTTATGAGTATAAAATATTTGGATCAAAATGATCCAAAGTAACCAATATGTGGTTTTCTAACTAACCAAACATTTCTCTTAAATAAATGATAAGGAGTTTTCTTAACTATAGGTATGATAATGATTTATTCTTGATATAACATCAGTATTTATCACCAAAGTCCGAAAATATTTAGACAAATTATTCTCCACCAACACCATCTAAGAAAGATTCAATGATGTTCAATTCTTCTTCTCAACAATAATATTTTGTTGTGGTATCCTAGGATCAGCAAATTCATGTTTTATTCCTTGATCAGTAGATAATTTCAAAAAGTTTAGATTTTCAAATTCTCAAGCATGATCAATTCTATTGTTTTTAAACTTCAAATCCATTTTATTCTCAATCTTCATGATAATTTTTGTAAATTCTTCAAGAGTTTTTATTGAAGGAAGCTAGTGCCATTATTTATCATTCTTTACCTAAGAAATATAAAGACTGAGGACCATTTCTCATCTCATGAAAGCAGGTGAAACTATTTTAAAATGTGCTCCTATATTTATTACTTGTAGTTGTTTTTAAAAAAATTGAATTAGGAGAATTAAATCCAACTTTAGTGAAACTTCAACTAATTGATAGATCTATTAAAACACCTAGGGGTCTTTTACAAGATGTCATTATCCATGTTAAAGGATGTAGATTTCTGATGAATTTTTGATTTTAGATTATACTTATTTTATATGACCTTAGTCATGCACTTATCACATTAGAATGCTCATTTCTTATCAAAGCTAAGGCAAATATTATTGTGAAAATAGGATCATAAATATGAAATCTCAATGTCAAAATCTCTCTTTAAATATTTTTAAAAGCTCAAGATTTGTACTTGAGAATGATGATATGAGGATATTGAGGTGATTGATTATTACATAGAGGAGATGAATTATGTCCAGCAAGTTAATAAATTAATTCATCTACTTCACATCCATGCATTTGATCAAAAAATTTATTAGAAAGAGGCACTAGATCATGACATGACATACATAGAATCATCACTAGAGAATCCTCAAAAATTTAAATTAATACCTCTTCCTAATTATTTTTTCCCTATTGATTGTTGAATAGGAAAAAAAACATTAGAGATTTTACAAGAACATAATAAAGTAATAGGGTAGATGATGGCTGATCTTAAGGGGATTAATCTATCAATTTACATGCATTGAATATACACTAAAGATAATTCAAAACGATCTACGGAAATGCAATGTAGGATGAGCCTAAATATGAAAGATGTGGTAAAGAAAGGTATTCTCAAATGGTTGGATGCTGATATTATTTACCCTATTTTTGATAGTCAATGGGTTAACCTAACAAGTAGTTCAAAAGAAAGTTGAATTAATTGTAACAAAACAATATAAAAAAGAAAGAAATTCTAAACAAGACTCACCACAGGATGAAGAGTATGTATTGATTACCACAAGCTTAATATAATGATAAAGAAGAATTATTTCTTTTTACCATTCATACATCAAATTCTAGAGAAACTTACAAGAAAAAAATAATTTTGTTTCTTAGATGAATTTTCAAGATAAAATAAAATAACAATCTTTTTGCAAGATCAAGAGAAAACAACATTTGAATGTCCATTTAAAATACATGCATTTAAATACAAGTCCTTTGGTTTATACAATGCACCAGTCACATTTTAGAGATGTATGATGTCTATATTTACTGAAATGATTGGTGAATTCTTAGAAATCTTCGTAGATAATTTTTTAGTATTTAGTGATTCATTTGATATATGCCTAAATAATCTTAAGAAAGTACTTAAGATATGTGAAGGAACAAATATAGTTCTTAGTTGAGAGAAAAGTCATTTCATGATTAGAGAAGGTAATATTTTAGGACACATTGTTATTGAATGAGGAATTGAGGTAGATAGAGCAAAAAAAGATTCTATAATTAATTTACCTTCACCTACTATCCTGCAATCACTCACTTGGTTGATTCTTTTTGATCTCGTGTGATGGTTTAAATTATGCATTGGATGTTGTTTTAGGTCAAAGAATTGATAAGAAACTAATGGTTATTTATTATGCAAGTAGAACTATCTTTGATACACAAATAAATTTTACCACTATGGAGAAATAATTAATTACAGTGGTTTTTGCCCTATAAAAACTTAAATCTTATATCTTAGGATCTAAAGTCATCATCTACTTAGATCATGCAGTCCTAGGATATTTGTTGAACAAGAAAGTAACAAAACCACATCTACTTAGATGGACCTTATTGTTGCAAGAATTTAATCTAGAGATATGAGATAAGAAAGGTGTAAAAAATGTGGTACTGATTATTTATCTCGAATTGAAGGACAAGAAAAGATTTAGTTAAATGATTCATTTCTTGATGAACATATCCTTACCTTGCATATCAAAATTTTGTCATGGTATGTGGACATAGTTAATTTTTTCTCTATTAGTAAAATCTCATCACATTGGCAAAAGTATGAATACAAACAATTCTTTGCTCGCATTAAATATTATTATAAATAGTAAAGCCATCTCAATATATTGATTAAAGAATAGCTTACATGTCTCTATTTATAGAGAGAGAGAGAGAGAGAGAGAGAGATACACTAAGCTCACTAATAAGCTCTAGTACACTAAGGGCCTGTATCTAACACTCTCCCTCAAGTTGAAGTGTGGATCGAACATGTCCAACTTGGATCTTAGGCAATTATATGACACACCTATGAGACTTTTGGTGAAGATGTCAACAAGTTAATCTAATGATGACACATGAGGTGTTGAAATAACTCTCGTCAATACTTTGTCATAGAGAAAGTAATAATCGATCTCTAATATGTTTGGCCCTCTCATGAAAGGTAAGATTTCCAACAATAAAGATAGCTGCTTGGTTATCACAATGGATAGGCATAGGGGATAAGTCCAAATTTAAGGGTTTTTGTGTCACTGTTTCAATTCAGATTTAACCAACCTTATTTATAAAAACTTTCCACTTAATTACTCTATCCTAGACATAGGCAAGTAAGGGGTCGATCCACAGGGAAGTAAGAGTTCAATTTCAGATCTTTGAGTCTTAAAAGTGGTAGAAATAGATTTAGAAATTAGGAATTCATTCTTTGGGAGTTTTTCAGGATTTTAGAGAGCTTAATATAATTTTTCTGATTTTTCTAGAATTTTACTTAGTGCAAAAAATGTAGCAAAAGATTAATTAACATTTTTTAGTATTTGTCTCTAATTTTAATTTGTCCCTTTTTTAAATGCGAAAAGAAATAATTAATTTTACCTTGTCCGTAGTTGGTGGTCGGCGGCTGAGTGAGTAGTCTAGGCAAGGGGTTACGTGGGTCCTGAATCCCCCTTGACCACTTCCAAACTTAACCGAAATTTGGGAATCTCAGTTACATCCGTAAGCTGAGAAAGAGAGGGTGGTGGACACGCTGTGGCTGTCGGCAGACACACGGCGGCTGGCGGTGGCTACTCGCGTCCCGCACACGCTCAATGGTAGAGAGAGAAGGGGGCTACGGGAGAAGGCAGAGAGAAAAGAAACGGTGGGCAACAATGGAGGGAAACATGGAGTAGCTAGAGGAGGCAGAATGGAAGATAGAGCAATGGGAGATGGCAGAAAGAGGAGGGTTTAGAGGTATAGAGAGAAGATTGGTGCTGATGTTCGTCCTTTGAGCCCTCA